CTGCTTCAACTTTTTCAAGAGCATCTGCAGATTTAGGTTTTCCAATATTTTGACTGAAAGCGATTGGAACTAATGAGTTTTAATAAGTACCACACAAGTGAATAGTGCTTTTTGCGCTCCCTGACTAGCGGAAATGATTAGCAAGCACTTTCACCTGAGGGCAGCCGAGGGGCACAAAATCGAGTCAAGAGTTACATTTCCGAGCAATTATTCGGTACATTGACAGAAATTAACTTTTTTCTGGCAGCTTGGTCAATATACACCATTTTCGCCAACGCTTAGGTCAATAATAGTAAGTATTTAGAGTTCAAAGACCAGTTTCACACCAATTTTACATGGGGTTGGTTTATTTTGCATGAATAAGCGTCTTCATTGAACCGAGGGAACATAAGTTCACTAGTGATATTTTGCTCTTCGAGAGTAACCGGAATCTTTCTAAATTTGTAAAAGAAGGGATTTAAAAGACAATTTGTTATTTTAGAACCACTTAAGCTCAGCAAGTTAAAATCTCCCTGGTGGCTAGGTTTTAGTTGAATTTTTCCAATTACAGGGAAAAATCTCTAAATCTAGTTCTAAGATGGTGGTAATGCCTTGGAAAACCTTCTGAATCCGAAGGGGAAAAAGATTTGCGTAGCTAGTAAATGAATATAAATATAGAGGCAAGACCGATACATCGGGTGCTGAAGGTGAAGAAGGCTGGTTTGGCGAGCCGAAATATAGTGCTCCGTTTTAAAACTTATCTACTTTGTATCGGTCTTGCCTCTACATTTATGTTATTTTGGGCCGATTAGATCACTGCTGATCCAACGTACAAGAGTAGGGTTATCGTCCACGGTTGCTTGCTGAACATTTCACTAGTAAATGAGCCTTTTTCCCTTTTTTTTTTTAATTTCTTTTGGTGGAAAATTTCCCTTTATTTCAAATGAAATAAGGGTTCTCTACATAGAAACATCCTTTATCCGAAAAAATTATCTTAATTATAAATATTAATCGTTCCAAACCGTGTTTTATTGAGATTTTACTTTCATGTTAATCAATTATGTATTAACGTATGGCTTACTCTCCGAGCGGGTAAAATTTAAGAAATCTACTTACTGTGTCCTAAATGACTTCCCAAGAGCGTTAGAGCATAATGCTTACGACGGAGTCGAAGTCTTAATCAGATTCGCTTAGTGATATAATCTAATGATATCAAACCTGGCGGAATCGTCAGAAAACTATCGATGCCCCTGACCACTTGATTGCCGTTAAAATCCAGTGAAAACCAGATGGTCAGACACGTTAGCTTAGGCCAAAGAATAAACTAATCAAATTGCCTTAGAACCTGCATTGTGCTTGGTTCTTTCTTTTACTTCCTTTACTAGTTTAAATTGGTCATAGGCGTCGGGAGTCTTCAGTGAAATCGGAAAAAAGTGTAATATTGATTCTTCTGATTCCGATTCTGGTTCGTTAAGCTTATTACTCCATCTACGACTCCAAATTTTCACTTGGTTGGAAGCGCGCTCTTACGACTCCGACTCTCTCGCTGGTGAAAACCATCTTTCAGGATGGGTGACGTTTTTTGGGGAAATTTTTCTAGACAGTTTATTAGTATAATAACTAAGTCCTTCTTTCCAGATGGAGAAAATTCCATTTGAGTGTCGAAAGTAGTCCAGGATTGCCTTGCTTTTGCTTTACTTGGCGATGTAATTCTCGTTTCAGTTGGTTAAAGATACTTGTGCCACGTTCTTAATCAAATGGTTTCGAAACGAAAACCACTTGCAACTCGATTACTTGCGTTTACCTTCGCTTTGATGAACTACTTTGTTATATTTTTAGTTTAATTCCGTTTGGCTGGTTTCTTTCTAGTTTTGGTTTTAGGATACTCGGAATGCCCCTCGAATGAACCCCTTATTGATTAAGCTTATTATTCTCGATGGGTAGCGATTGGCTCCTTTCCGAGCTTTCTGCACGTTAATTCTCCCAGTCCTTACTAAAAATGCCAGAAAGGACAAAAAAACATATAAACCACTATTTGGTTATTTTGACATGATGCGCGCCCTGATAATTTAATGCACGTGAACTGCCGATTGTACAGGTGCAATGATGGTAAGTGCCAAAGAAGATGGATCCGCAAGTGTTTTGCTCATCTTTTAACAGATTGAATAGTGAGTTACATGGTATCATTCAAAAGTTCCTTTTGTCCATTCTTCAGTAAAAGAGAGCTAGTCCATGATAAGCTTGCTAGCTTGAGCCGTAAGTAAATTTTTGTGACAATGTGTCGATGATTGCGCAGCTTCAATTTACTGCTTCTATTGGCACAAAAGTCTTGGTCGCAAGAAGGACTTCAGATTTCCTCCATAATATCCGTACAATAAAGGATCCAATCCGGTATTGAGAAAGATCAAAAGCTGAGAGATTTTCCAAGCAAAGCCAGGTGACGCTAAACTATAATACATTAGCGTCCTTATGACCATAAAAGGAGACCAACAGACTACAAATGCTATCGTCAGAGCGAAGAGTGTCTTTGCAATCTTCCGTTGCCTTTGTTTATAGCGAGAAATGAAGACTTTGTTTTTTGCAAGCGCGGAGTCTTGAGCGGAATGAAAAATGCGGCTTTGTGTGTAAATCATGTAAAACAGTGGAGCCACGTAAAAGATGGTTGTATGTACACTGTAGAAGATTTGTGGGAAAAAATTAGTCCTCTTTTTAGCAAGGCACACAACACTGTTTCGTCGCGTTTCTACACGGTAAATAAACAATAATGGCAAACAGACGACTAGGCTAAAACTCCATATTATGATAAGTTTGATATATTGTTTATCTGGCCATCTTAGTTTCACCCGTGCGTTGATTGGATTCGTAGTAACCTGAAGTCTTTCGTAGCTTATAGTCGAAAGTGTCACAATCGTAGTTGTGTAGCTAGCTTCGATTAAGAATCCTTGTGGTTTGCAAGTGGCGTTACCGCCAAACCATCCATACAAAAATGCGATGCTGTTGAATGTGGTCAAGATTGTGAAACAGAGATCGGCGGACGCCAGATTTGCCAATAGCCACATAAACGGGAAATGTTTTTGTTTCAAAGTCCTGTAGCAAGTTACCAGGACCCAAATGTTTCCAACTGTCGATAAAATAAAAACAGTGATGTAGAAAACGCCGAACAGAGCCACATGGATTGTAGAAAAAGAATCACTCCTCTCCATTTTTGACGGCTGGATCTGCCGATCTCTGTAAAACGCTTTTGAGTTTTGTAGAATTTTGGAAGAATCTCACTTTTTATTCCACGGGAACTTTCTTCGAATACTCTAGAATCTGAAAGATAAATTTAGTCTTGCTTTCTTGGAGTTATGAGTCGCTTTTATCATATTCAAAAGAAAGTTTCAGCTGGGTAGTGAGACTTTCCTTATTATCCTGACCAATCAGCGTAGTAAAAATCCTATTCCCTCGATCTTTTCACAAACCTGACTTTTTCTAAGAGAATGTTCGTCCTACCGTAGAATAGTTTAGATGATCAAGAGTCCTTTTTGGAATTCACATCTGGTTATACTATACCTGACATATGTCATACAGGTTCTTTCATCGAAAGTCGTTTCCACTGAGTGTCACTTCAGGGGGACTCTTTTTAAGATGCCCTTAGTACAGGAAAGTCATCCGTGCATCTTTAATTAGTGCATTGACGATTTGTGTTTTTGTGCTTTTAATAGTAAGCTTTGGCTTGGAGGCGTTAAACTTTTCATCTGATTTGATCAGATAAACATAAAAAGCGAGTGCCATCTACAAAGCTGAAATATCTTTTATTACACATATGTTTTTTTATTGATGAAATTTTTTACCTTCTTAGAAGGCGGGCAAGCTACTCATGTCACCTGCTATTTCCGACTGCGATAGAATTAATGAAATATGCAAGAAAAGATTCAATTCATTTGAATGTCTATCAAATGGGTAATAATTGAAAATCGTTTTGTCAATCACTAACAATTGAATGCTCAATCATTTTCGTAACTTAATTTGCTGTTCGAAATATTGATTAAACTCCGTTCGTCTTTTAGCCGTGTAGTGGCCTATCCAGTGTGATTTTTTTACCTTGGCTCAGCTCAATGAGATTTCCTTGATTAATGAAGCAATAAAATTTATGATACGCAATTAAATTATGGAGCTGAAAGGTGCAGCTTTACTTGTCTTTCTCTTCAAACGTCTGTGTGCAATCCAAGTTTTTCTTCTACATTCGCCTTCCTTTTTTTCACTGATCATTCTCCATCTTTTTTAGTTGTTTTTGTTTATTTTTCCCTCGTAAACGATTTTTTCTTTATTCCACTTAAGGTAATTCCTCAGTAAAAAAATATTTTAGGCGTTCAAAATTAAGTGAATGTTAAAGGAGTGGTGTTTAGAGTTGAGTCTCCTCCTATGAACAAAGAGGCGAGATTGTTTTGATGCATAATTCAAAATTTTATTGTAAAAGGGCTTGGCAAATGATTATAAAGTCGGGTAGGGACTGCGGTGTTTGTCAAAGATTTAGCAATTGATTGATTGTACTATGACTGAACTTAAATACTTCGCACTCTGTGATAGTTCCTTCTCTAAAGTTTATCAAAGAACAAAGCCAGGGGCCAACGTCATATAGAAATGATTATCTCTCTTTAGTTTAACGTGATTCACAATTTTGTAAATGCGTCAGAAATTTTTCAGGATCTAGTATTTAAAGGCTTCCATATAAAAGGTGAGCATACAGGAGCCATTTTCGAGAAAAAAAAATGCAGTTCCGATACCGGAACATGAACAGGGTATCCCCCGGAAGAAGTTAAAACAGTTTCAGTAACTTTCATTTCATCTATCCGTCCATTGTTTAAAGTGTTCGCATTTCTAAAGTTGCTCCTTAAATCTTCGGAAGGGCTCGCATATATCTTTTCTGAAAAAAATTAGTTGAAAATTTGTTTTAAATAGTTCCCATGTTTCCTGTTTCAATAGATTTTGTTTTGACGCCGAACTGTAGAAAGAAAATTCTTGTCGCACACACATGCGGCTCATGTGTCACTTATTGGTTCAGGTCGGGGTAGGATTGGCTGCCATTCATGTACTTCTATTACCATACCTTGCCAGGGGTGAAATTTTTGCTGTTCCTCTGGTCTCTCGTTGTTAGTTATCATTTGGCTGTGAGTGGAATAGCAGAGTTCTTCTGGAGCACGGGTTTGACACTTAACACATGGGATAACAGGTTTAAAAATAGCTTTGAAGTTCTCACGCTCCCCATAAATACCATAAAGAATTGGATCTAACACCGTGTTCAAGAAAATTAAAAGCTGAGATGCTTTCCAGATATAACCGTCATCTGCGAGGTGAATGTATATAAGCCCTCGAACGCAGATAAAGGGCGACCAGCAAGCTGCAAATGCTGTAGTTAGAGCAAGTAGTCGCTTGGCAGCCTTGAGATGCCGTTTAGAGCGCGCTGTTGTCAAAGTGTTTCGTATTGGGAACACCTTGGTGCTCAAGCGCAACGATATGAAGATTTTACATTGGACATAAATCATGTAGGATAGAGGAACGAGGAAAAAGAAAATCGTATGAAAGCCATAATACACTTGTCTTCCCAAATCTCCAAATTTGTTGTTGGTGCAGGAAACCTTTCCGTTCTTATCAGGTTGGATTTGGTACGCATAAAGTAAGGGTGAAGCTACGACCATACTTATGATCCAGGAAGCGATAAGCTTTCCATAAATACACGATGGATTAATCGCTATTGTATGAAGTGGCACTACCACAGCCTTGAGTCGTTCATAGCTTATAATACACAGAGTTGTAATGGATACTGTATAGATAGCCTCGATGAAAAAACTCTGCAGCTTGCAAGAGATCTGACCTCCAATCCATGTCCATAAATAACTTATGAGGTCCAATATGGACAGGAACACAAAAGTTAGGTCAGCAAGAGCTAAACTGGCGATAAACCATTTTAATGAACACACGTTTCTTTTAATTGATCGGTAACAAACTGAGAGAACAAAAGAGTTTCCCATAACTGACAATAAGAACACTATAGAGTAGAAGGTAACGCCGAATGGAACAATTATTGAATGCAACTCTCCATCTGACATGATTTGTGCTAAGTGCCCACATGAACTTACACTTCAATCAATCACCGTCCATTCCCTTGATCAGCTCTCATCCCTTGACTATTTCAATGTATGTACCCAATGTTCTATTCTTCTCAATCACTCATCGATGTGAACCTGTTATTAAAATGAATATGAATAAAGCAGATGCTTTCCACGACATCATCTTATTTTTAGATGCTATAATTAACATAACAATTTTGACGTAACAGCCACCTTTTCATTCGTATACCTGTTAGTTATAATTGTGATTATATGCAAAATGAACAAACTCCGTATTTTTTTTTTTTTTTTTATCTCCCATAAATGGAGATAATACCTTAACGTTTTTGGGAAGCAAATGAGAGAAACAAGAGCGTTTTTGTTACAATACTGAAAACGAACGTCCTTTGTTAATTTGGATAATTTTGGTAATGAAGCAAATTTGATTACATATCTAGAAAAACAAAATTTAATCAAACAAAGAGACAATCTTCGCAGGTGGAATGAAATTTTAACAATTGCAGAAAAGAAGCTTGAAAAATTTCAGCTTCATGGAAGCCAAATGGTTTTTCTTATCTGCAAATACTAAAATTGAAGTATTTCTTCGCTTGATTTCCGATTTTTGTTGTTCTAGATATGTAAACACTGATCCACATTGCTAACAAAATAGATTGTACCCGGTCAAACCAGTCTCTGTCCGTGTCGAATTCGTGAACTTCGCATGGATTTACAGAAAGAAAGTCGATATTGTGAAAACTCCTTCAGTTTGTAATCACAATCCTCCTTATTTTATTTTCTCGCTACTGTCATGACTCAAAATCACGAAACACCGAACATTCGTCGGTTAAATAAAACCAAGGAAGCGATGCCATTAAAGGGGCCCTCTGGTTGAAATCCAGAAAAAGAATAGGCCATTGGTAAAATTGTCACAGCATCAGAACCATTCAAAGTAGACTGCTGAAAATTTGGCATGAAGGAAGTAGATAAAGCTGAATTTTGGTTATGGAAGAACTTACCCTCGGCGTTCGGAGTGAAACTGACGTTCCTTGATTCTCACATTGTTCTTTATTTTTCAGCTGTATTGTGAAAATTTCCCTTACCGGAGGGATTCGTCCTTTCTAACTATAGTTTCTTTAATTGTTCTCCGTTTTTTATTTACTTTTGGTTTACGAACGTTTTTGTGAAGGGATACTACTTGACAGCTTGTTAGTGCGAATCAAGTTAACTGAAGACCATTGGGCAGAACGCCTATTATTCTCGCGACATTTACTTGCAGTAGCAAAAAAATATATAGATCTGTAATATTAGCGCCGAAGCATATTCTGTTTGATTTTTATTGGACGAGATCTTGCGCCCTTTCTTCCACCGGGAATACTGCTCTAGCTCATTAACTTGACCTTGTTTATCTTCGCTTCCGAGAAAGACAGGCACCAGACATTCAACTGTATCCCATCGTCAAAACACTTCCTTCGATATTCTCTATCCTAAGGCCAACCTTAAAGGGTACGATCCTAGGGTTTAGCCAATGAGAGTACAATCCCAGGTTTTTAGGTAACACAGAAGAACCTCCCATGATCCGTCATTTAATTTGTAAGGGGTAAGAACTCGACGGTTACCATTGCATGTTTGCTACTAAGACAACACGAGTTTGCTTGACTTGACATGTGGTGTCAAGTGGCTTTTAAGCCAGAATGGATCTGGTTCACCTGTGTGAACCATAAGGAAGTTTGCCGCTTGAAACTGGTTCTATCCGCTAATTATGAATAAGCCGCTGGACAGCCGGTAAAACTGACTATTTCAAAGGGCTCGTAGCACTTTTATGGCCGTTTTCTGACTGTGCAAGCTTTCCCACAACTTAGGCTTCCGATGAGATGTTTAGTGCGAGTTTGTATCCGCGGTGTCTAACTCAGGAGGGAGTCCAAGGTAAGCTAGACTATGACAAACTTAATCTCAGATTATGATGAAGATCAGTGGATCCAGGGAAACGTTCAACAATTAATAGGTAATAAACTTCTTGATCACGCATCGTTTTCTCTTTAAAAGTCAGGCTCCGGTTGTTCAAACAGCGGATAACGCTATCCACCGGATAAATCGCTATCCAGCGGATAAGTGTTACCAAAACGTACTGCGCTATCCAGCGGATAGAGATTTATCCCGTGTATAGCGTTATCCATCCTTCGAACAACCGGGGCCTGAAGTCTTGCAGTAATCATTAAATTACTCATATTTTATCTAAGCTGCCATTTAATCGTTAGTACGAAATACAAAAGATTCTAGAATGATTCGAAGATAACTTTGTGCTGTGTTAAGTTGATCAGTATTGCCAGACGGTTTGCCCGACGCCAGATCATTTTATTTCTGCTATCTCTAGAGTTGACAAAAAGCCCGACTTTCCGTCTAAAACTTATTATTTCACCAGGAAAGGTTTTCGTGTCTGTTGGCAGGTGGTCTTCAATCTCTCACTCACTTCAATTTGATAATTAATGCGCTTTACTTTAAGTACACCTAACGATGAAAATGGAAAAATAAAAAAAGCTATTACTTGACACTTGACGTCGTGAGGATGTAAATTCTATCCTATCGAAGTTTCGTTTCGTTAAAATATTAATTGGCGACAGTACGAATACAATTCCTAGTCGATTTGAATGAGAATGATGCAAAAACGTTATTCATTTTTCCAACAAAGCTATCATAACACGCCAACATACCTACAAAGATTTAAAGATTTTTAACATAACAATAAAGTATATTGTGTACAGTGATATGTCTATGTCAATCCCGGCTCAAAATCTCGGAAGGAACTTTTCATGCACATTGTCAATGGCCGTTTGAGGTCGTCAGCACCATTTACGGTACTCACATAGTGTCCGCAAAATACGTGCAATAATTATCGAACGTTTTTGTACATAAAAATTAGTCTATTTTAAGAAAACGAAGAACACCTATAGAGTTGACTCTTAATTCTCAAAGGCTGCTTGAAAGTGCTATAATGAGTGTGCTAATAAGGCATTCCCTATTTTTAAACAAATTGATAACCCAAATACAGTTCGGCCAGTGTTTGTTTCCATCAATGGTTTGCAGTGCGGTTTTCGATCTCGACTGAAAGTCCTTTAGATGACATTATGTCTGACAGTGACACATTTCCTGTGGGTTTAGTGCTAGCGTTCGTCATCTTTTATTTCATAGTGTATGTTTTGTCCATGGTTGGTAATTGTTGGGTTATGGTGACCTGCTACAAAACTCTCAAGAGAAAAGGGTCTTCACTGATGTGGTTCGTAATCAACTTAGCAACGGCAGATCTTATTTTCACGTTCCTTACAATCTTTAACGGCATCGGATTTTTGTATCGTTGGGTCGGAGGAGAAATTGGTTGCAAGTTTCACGGGTTTCTCGTTGAGACATGCTACAGTGTTTCCATTAGCACTCTTGTAGTGATCAGTCACGAGAGACTGACGGCCATTACTGACCCCTTGAACGCAAGAGCAAGAAATTTCGCAAACAAAGGCTATCGCAAGCTTTTGATAGTTTGGGGAGTTTGCCTGATGGGATGTATTCCCTTGACGATTCTTTATCGGATGGATCGCGATGCAAACGGGAAACTCGTTTGCAATAATACGAAATTGGGAGACATAGGTCGACAGATCTTCTACTGCCTGCATGCTTTCTTTTTCTTTATCTTTCCGCTGTCCTATATGATATTTTCACAAAGTAAAATATTTCTTGCGCTTCGCTCCAGGAAAATAATCTCGTTACAGCAGGATGCGGAAAGATCCAACAGACGACAGCGGAAAATTGCCAAGACACTTTTTGCTCTTACGGCTGCCTTTGTGATCTGCTGGTCTCCATTTGTGATCATCCGAACTTTGATTTATTTTTGTATCGCCGAGCCAGCTGCGTTATGGAGGATGTCTCAACTACTGATCTGCCTTAACGCTGTGTTGGATCCGATAATGTACGGTATTTATGGTGGAAACTTCAAAGCAACTTTGCGACAGAGGTGTTGCTTCAGGTTTCCTCGTGAAAGACTAGAAAGATCAGTTAGCTTGGAAATGTCCCAGACCGCAGTAACGTGTGCAGTGCAACCCAATGCAATGAAAAAGCAATCTTGCGAGGGCGAAGAAATGAACCTAAGTTAAGACTGAATTTACGTTTTCATCAGTTAACTAACTTCCATTAAAAGCAACGACAACTAAGCCAGAAAGAAGACCGACGAATCTTTCCAATTTTATCATTTGTTGCGTCGAGGAGAGGAATGGGGAACTGTCCGAAAAGTTCTGATTGTGTATTTGTTCTGTTGTCGCCGTCGATGTAGTTGTTTAACTTGACAATTCAAGATGAACTTTACGAGAGCTTTTTGCTCCAAGTCTGTAAGGGACACCTTTAAATTGGTTAGTTGCAATTTAAGATACGAGTATGTGAGAATCTTTAGATCAAGCACTGTACTTAGGGAAACATTTTCGTGCCGTTAACGTTCTCAGAGAATCCGCCAACTGTATATGCACTTGGCGCAGTTCTAAAGTTTCAAAACGCTTGTAAATCCTATGGCTAGTCCATGTTGTACATCTTACTCAGCAAGCAGAGTAATGCTAGAAGCAGGTTATAATTAAAATAAAGAAGTGAGGGGACGATGGGGGTGGTGGTCAGGGGGGGTATCAGTCAGCCCTTTACACTCTTACATTAGTAACCATATTCTCCTTATTGTTCTCTTTAAATTCCTCCTGGTATTGACGAGGAAATTCGAAAATCAGGAGCTTCATAAATCGGTGACAATCTCCCTTATTCTCGTGAAGTCACGTTTGTATTTCGTCAACGGTGATAGTTACGCGATATTAGAAGCCAGCCACTCTTTCAGGTTTAAGGGTTCGGATGCGCAGGAGAAGTGATAATGACTTAGTCTTTGATTTGAACATTCAACGTATTTTTGACTATTTTTTTTTTAATGAATGTGATTTCTACTTGTATCATACAGCCCTTACAAGTGCTCAAAAAATGAGCATCATTAAATACCGCCGGCGAAATGATATAAAATGTTACAAGGCTGGCAATACCCGCGTATTTTCTGTATAAAAGGACTAAAGTAGCACGTGAAAAAAACATCCTCTTTTCATGCTCAAGCGTGCGTTATCTGACAATGATAAAAGATGCTTGCTCGAGGTGCATGCGCGTCTGAGACTAAAAAAAACCTGGGACAGCTTGAAGCTGGTTCATGTTTCTCTGGCCTTCTCTATATTGAACCCGGCATAACTGTTGAAAAGTTATTCTCTGTTTTAATTTGTAAGCTTACTCCAGTTACCTTAAGACAATATTCTGTCGTTTTATTATGTTAACCCGTTCGGGTCGTACGAACAAGAATATGTAACCGTCCGACTAAAGTTTGCCACATTTAATTTTCTACTGAATATACTGAATTTTCATCGCCTTTCTAGGCAAATAGTAATGTTATCATTAAAAAAAAAAAAACTTCCATACTTGTGTTACATGCTCTAAGTTTTCCCTTGAATGTAAATTCAGTAAATTTTATTCTGTCGAGAAAACATAATTGTCGTTATGAAAATTAAGATTTACATCAAATGTCAACGCCTATGTTTATTAATTTTGCATTTGAGCGTGATTTCATTCTGTGACTTAGCGCCCTCTCCTTGGAAACACGTTGTCTTGCATGTAGTTGATGACGTTTCCTGCAGGACGATATCGACCCACCACATATGTTCCTCTACCATCACTTGTTTTCGCTCGACCCATTCCTAGCTCCTTACTGCCTTTCCAAACCACTTGAGTGAAGTGTCCAGTTCCCCCCTGCCATCCACCACGGCGGAAATCATAATCTTTATACTCGTCGTACCTATAAAAGGAGTTAATTGAATTTACTGCCTGACGTCATTAGCATAGGTGCCTTTCGGTAGATAGTGATGGAGTTTCGCATAAAAAAAAAATTTAAACAGAGTTAATTACAGCGGCAAATCAGATAAAGAAAAACATCATGGCATCTTTTTGACGATCGGAGCAGATTCGTGTAAATAATCCTAAGCGTGGGAAAACGCTTGTGAGCAATTGCAAAGCAAAGTTAGGAGGAATCTATGCAACCTTCAATTACTTTCGATGAAAATCTTATCGATGCAAGGTTTACAATTTACTATGGAACAGTTCAGGTTAATTTTCGAGGCAATCAATTGATAATTCACGGCATCCATTTCTTGTAACGCAAAATTGATTTATGTATCATCTTTTGATGGTAGTTTTCAACATTTGTTCCCCTAAAACCATTTATTGACCACATAACAATGAGTACATGATTTTACTTAACGCAGCAGCTTATTCTCGGAAGTGATATAATATATTATTATACATTAGTCTTAGTGTAAAAAGTCTGATATCATACTCAACCTTATTCAATGATTGCTTACCATTATGTCAGGTCCCCATTTAACCGCATCGTAGGAAAAATGAAAGCGGCCATCTTAAAAGTGATTAACTGATTTCAATGTGACCAAGAAGCAATACGTGTGAGATGGGCAAAACTCGTTAGTTGAAATTTTCTTTTGTATGCTTGTTTGACAAGGTATTTTGCTATTGCACTACGTTTTTACTCACCACATAGTGGTAGCTTCTTCTCCTGCAGAATCAAACCTTTCCGTAAAATATGCTAAGTTCTCTCCAGCATCTTTTCTCTCGCTTTTACTCGAATGCTGCAATGTACGGGCGCGTGCAAGCTTCTCAGCCCAAGCTTGCGCTTCCCTTGCAAGGTCATCCGCCCACTTCATGGCCGGAACACCATGCATAGCTCGGTATTTATTATGACTGTCCAGGGATTGTTTTGCAAATGATCCCGCTGGAGATGAGGTAGCTGAGGCGGAAGGACTAAATCTATCTGCTAAAAGAAATTAAGTTAACTGAGGTTACTTTGGTATATGCGTTAGTCATCCATTGCATATAACAAGTAAACAGGGGTCAAAACGAATAAACGACCTAAAATGAAACAATTTTTACCTCGTGAGGTATGATTTTTAAAACGTGATGATGAATTACTAAACAAACGTGCTTCCTAAATAAACACTACTTCTTTGCCTTATACACATACAGGGCGTCGAAGGCAGAAACTATGACAAAATTTAAATCAATATTTTTGGTCCGTTTTGATCTTTTTCTTTAAACAACCAATCATTTCAAATTAAAGGCCTACTCGGGTTGCTGAGGTCTCTGAAGTTTCTATTTAATTAGACAGGAAATGCAAATTTAAATCCGACGTCACACGATAAAAAAAAGAATTACCTGGTCTTGTTTCCCTAGGTTTCTGATTGTAAGACGTTGGCTGAGCCAATAACGTCAAAAACGGCAGTTTTCAAAATTTTCCGTAAAAATTTATATCATTCACAAACGTGCTTCCTAGAATGATAATCACTTCACTGCCTTGTACATGTACAGGGTGTCGGAAAGCAGAAAGGGTGAACACATGTTAATCGATATATTTTTCGCCGATTTTTTTCGTTCAACAACTAATAATTTCAAATTGAACACCTGCTGGAGTTGCTGAGGTCTCTGAAGTTTCTATTTAAATTGAATAGGAAACTGTAAAAATTTCAATCCGACATCAAACGACGGAAAAAATTAAAGAATTACCTGGTCTTGTTTCCTTAGGTTTCTGACTGCTCCACGAAGTCGAGTAAGACGTTGGCTGAGCTAATATCAAAAACAGTAGTTTTCAATATTTTACGTAAGTTAAATAAAGAAACATCGTGAGACCTATCTGATAAGGTATAAATCATCATATTGTCGGTTTTACCGTTGCTATATGGCTACATAAGATCTAGAGGTGTGGGTATAATCAAAACTTTTTCTGAAGTTTTTTCTTGCCTCAAAGCAATCTATTTCTGTGAAAGAGAGTATTTCGTTAAAACTACTTCTCCACTCGTCCTTTCAAGTAACTGCTATTCCTTCCTCGTACATTGAATTGGAGAACTGCGGTGTATCTTCACGAAATGATATCCTCCGGTGGTATAAAATTTGTAATTTATATAAAATGTGATGGATAATATCTTGCATATACAAGGAAGAGCGGCCTGTTCATTAAAGGGTTAACAAAAAAAAGCACGAAAACTTTACCATTTCTTTCCCACTTGTCCATCCTATCCTTGAAAGGTTCTGTAATTGTAAAGAATACAGCCATTTAAAATTTGCAAATTGAAACTTAAACATATGTGACGATGAACAAACAGCGACATTTACCATTTATTGTGAAGCCGTGGTTGAGCCTAACGATGCTTTATAGGAGTTGGTAACATTCTAAGCGATGGCACTTAGATACGACACAATAAGACTCATACGAACAAGAACACCCATACGCTATTCTTTTAACTATTACAAAATAAATTTATATTAGCATTTTCTGTGTAGATTCCAGCCAATGAGCTCTCTAAGAAAAACTTTATTTGATAGAAATAAAACCTTGAAATAGGAGTACATTTGATTTCCTGTCCAATAAAGTATTTTTATATTCACTCTCAGATCGGATTTGGAATTTGGGAAAGAGGCTCCTAAACCCTTCCGCAGATCTAACTTTGCGGGGCCTCTGCAAATTAGTAAATCCGTTTCCTCTGTGATTTCTTCTCTCAATCTTCTTAAAAGACTATAAGATATCTGAGAAATTACCGCTTTGCTCCAATCTTTCCTTTTTATCTTTGAAAGGACCTGTAGAGAAACATAAGTCTGAGTTGATCATGGCAAAAAAAGGACAATCCGATGACAAGGGAAACAAAAAAGACGAGAGGGCAGAAAAATCCTGGATATTCGAAAATCGCACGTAACTTGTGTCTCTAGATAGCTGACTCAGGTAGAACGGTATACTAACGATACTAAGAATGCATTGAGATAATCATGTTTAAGACATCAAAAAAAGGCCTTCAAAGATTCTTACCGTCGTCAAATGCTCTTCTCATATCTCTTGGAAATCTATCAAATTGATCTGAAACGTAAGAGTGGTAAGGACTGACATGACTTTTATTTCCCCGGTGGAACATAAAAAGGAGAACAAGAACAATTTAGGTATAACTCAGTAATAGGTACGCACTTGATTTGAAGGAATTAAATGTCATGCTCGATCACATGCAGGAATTCTGTTTCATAATTATGTATCCCGCTATATTGCGGCTAAGTTTCCTTTTTTTTTTTAATTCGAACAGGTTCAAGTTTACGGTGACGTCATAGATCAACTTTGTACCTTTACACACCGTATTTGATCTAGATGGGCAGGATTTTATTCATGTTTCTTTTTTTAGTAATCAACTGACCTCCCCTTTCTCCATCAGTTATGACTGTCCTCGTTACTGTAGTTTTGACCCCGTCTCGATCATAAGTAATCTGAAAAAAAAAAAAAAAAACAGGCCAAACTGCCATATCAGTACACTGAAACATTTATGATTTGGAATTCACAGCGCAGCCCTCCCCCATTCCCCGGCCCCGCACACCTTATCTTCTTTAGTTAAAGTGCATTTAGTGCATTGGAATTCCCGGGTAAAATTATCAAACACAGCCTTCTTCAGTTTTGCACCTTGGTCACTTGACTTGCCTTGTTGAATTTCCCGCTTAGTTGGCCGCAATCTTTAGCCAAACAATGCAGTCAACGCTCACTTGCCCTTCCTCTTTCTTGCTAACTTCCTCAATATCATCTTCACTTGATTTTTTATTCTCTCATTCGTTACGCAGAAAGGCGCTGAACGAGTTAAGTCTTTAACTCTATTCTCTTGCAGCTTCTTTGAATATTGTTGAAAGCCTTAGCCTGTTTTCTTTCCATTTGTTAAAGTGCTCTCGTATGCTCTCATTCGCATATTTTATTAATTAGTTAAGGAGGTCGACTCTTTTGCTCCCTTATTATTTTTACATGTCTTACACCCTTACACCTTTAAATCTCACTCCCTTAAATCCAATCGATCTTCTTTTAAGTGCTCCCTTATTCCTTCCTAACTTTCTTTATCTATCCTTAGCTTATCCCTTTATCCCTTACTGTTTCAGTTTTTTCTTGTCGAGAAGAAGATCTTCTGGAGTCATCAATTTCTCGTCTTGGTTCCGGCCGCGTCGAAGAATCTCTCGAATCCCTCTCCCTAGAGCGGTTAGTGACTGAGCTACCCAGCTGAGTATATAATAAAGTAACCTGAATTAACACAATATTATTTACACGACATTACTTGAGAAATTTATGCATTAATAAGAAGTTAGTCGGCATCAGAAATGTTTCCAAATCATTATATAAGGAGGTTCGCAGGGCTAATACTCTTGAATTAAAGAGCGTATGAAAAATACTTTTTCCGCGTAACTTTACCTTTGGATTAACATTGTTNGAAGTGGCGTACAAGGAGAGCTTTTTTTTTTTTTTTTTTTTTTTTGATGTACTCTGTAGGCATGGAGAGATATGTGCCCCCCTTCCTTTATGTTCATTTCCCATTTATAATTTCTTTTCTAAGTAATCTGAAAAAAAAAAAAAAAAAACAGGCCAAACTGCCATATCAGTACACTGAAACATTTATGATTTGGAATTCACAGCGCAGCCCTCCCCCATTCCCCGGCCCCGCACACCTTATCTTCTTTAGTTAAAGTGCATTTAGTGCATTGGAATTCCCGGGTAAAATTATCAAACACAGCCTTCTTCAGTTTTGCACCTTGGTCACTTGACTTGCCTTGTTGAATTTCCCGCTTAGTTGGCCGCAATCTTTAGCCAAACAATGCAGTCAACGCTCACTTGCCCTTCCTCTTTCTTGCTAACTTCCTCAATATCATCTTCACTTGATTTTTTATTCTCTCATTCGTTACGCAGAAAGGCGCTGAACGAGTTAAGTCTTTAACTCTATTCTCTTGCAGCTTCTTTGAATATTGTTGAAAGCCTTAGCCTGTTTTCTTTCCATTTGTTAAAGTGCTCTCGTATGCTCTCATTCGCATATTTTATTAATTAGTTAAGGAGGTCGACTCTTTTGCTCCCTTATTATTTTTACATGTCTTACACCCTTACACCTTTAAATCTCACTCCCTTAAATCCAATCGATCTTCTTTTAAGTGCTCCCTTATTCCTTCCTAACTTTCTTTATCTATCCTTAGCTTATCCCTTTATCCCTTACTGTTTCAGTTTTTTCTTGTCGAGAAGAAGATCTTCTGGAGTCATCAATTTCTCGTCTTGGTTCCGGCCGCGTCGAAGAATCTCTCGAATCCCTCTCCCTAGAGCGGTTAGTGACTGAGCTACCCAGCTGAGTATATAATAAAGTAACCTGAATTAACACAATATTATTTACACGACATTACTTGAGAAATTTATGCATTAATAAGAAGTTAGTCGGCATCAGAAATGTTTCCAAATCATTATATAAGGAGGTTCGCAGGGCTAATACTCTTGAATTAAAGAGCGTATGAAAAATACTTTTTCCGCGTAACTTTACCTTTGGATTAACATTGTTTTGGAAGTGATTAATGACATTTCCTGGTGGTCGATAGCGAGCTACGACAATAACTTTGTCGTCGCCAACTTTGGCCTTTCCTATTCCGAATTCAGTTGACTCCTGCCAAACAATCTGTGTGAAGTGGCCAGTGCCACTTTTGAATCCTGGACTTCTAAAATCATAGCTGCGGAAGGAAAACAACATATTAATTCATGGCTAAGAAATCAAAGATGGCAATAACTTGTTATCAAAAGTAGCCAAGTTTGATTAAATTATAAAGGGTCTTGGTTGGCGGTCAGGGATTCCAATACGAAGCATTTCAGCGAATCATCACGACTGAAGTTAGACCATTACTTTAATTTACGTTTCTATTGAGTCACTGTCCGCGAAAGTATCATCGTACACACAACAAACAATGAAAAACACCCCCTTTCCCGTGACCTCTGTGAGGTCTTCACGATTTTCTTACGCGTTCATGTTTGAAGACGTTTCCGTCTTATCGAGTGTACGAAGTGTTCTTTCACGTGTAATCACATCTAGCAACCACTCTAATTCGTATCAAACGGAAATGATTATCATCATGTCCTTACTTGTCAACTTCTGCGTACCACCGATCCACGACTTCTCCTCCGGTGACATCACTCTTACCGGATATGGCGTATACGTTCTCTCCATCATCAGTTTCTTCATGTCTCAGCCTCCCTCCTTCTTTAGCCAACTGTTTAGCCCACTTTTCAGCGTCTTTTTCTAAAGATCTTGACCACTTCAGCGGAGGAGCCTGGTGGAGAGACCGGTATCTGTTGTGAGCTTCCAGTGCTTCTTTACCAAATTTGTCAGGCATCTTTGACCCTATCGGGATATATATCTTGTTAGACCTTTTGTTACGTAGTATCGCTGAATATTTTACGAGTTGTGCCGTATTTTGACGTGCCCGTAGGGCTCGTCAAAATACAAATAACGAGTACAAGTACTCAGCGATACGACACACCAAAACGTCTAATAAGTTATTTAGTATCCAACACGCTAAATTGTTTCTTCAGTGCGGGCGTTTATTTACGGGAGAGTGTGACAGATGTGAAGCGGAACGGAATCGGCGCGTTGTCGTGTTGCTGTTTCTATTTTCTTCAATAAATGATGAAATTTCATTGTCGTCTGACTGCTTTTCTTCGTTAGATTTATGTAACAAACTTGAATCAATTTTAGCCAGCCTTTCCGACTCTTAGTCGTCAGAAAAGGGAATTAAATTGTCCGTTATTTATTTACTTTTTTTTTTTAACCTCAATCCAATTTGTCGCTTGCGCGATGCGAAAAAACCTATCTAACCGGTTCTCTGGTGTGGTGTACAAATACCGCGTGATATTTGTACTCGTCTTGGGCGTTATTTGTACTCTACGGAGTGTAGTTGGATAATAAGTAAACATATTCTGGCCTATGCAATAGATATAAGAATATCATTCATAACATATAATCCCCCAGGGTAGCAGCTTTCTTAAAGTTTGTTTCTGGGGAGGAAAATTTGCTAGGATACCACGATAGCATCAAGCTGGGTCACCTTTAGCTGTATTACTGCAGTTTGGTCAATTTTAGTAAAATATTGTAATTGTGATTGCCTGACAGAGCAGCAGAATTTTAAATGATTGCTCGGCGTTTGTCTCACATGCATGGACTGTATTTACTTCCACGCTTATGGAGGCTCTTCCACAGATCAGCTTGGGAAAGAGGAGTAAAGGAGTACTTTACCAACGGCGTAGCTTTAAAAAATATGCTTGTTCGCCCGATAGTTACCAAATAAATCAAAGTTTGACCATATTTTGGTGAAGTTGATGAACTCGCCTAAAAGAGCAGTTAGTTAACAGTTCATGAGTTGAGCCCGCGTCAGACTCCATGCAAAGCCAGAACAATAACTCGAAAGAAACCTTTATTACTGAGGTATCTTTAGTGATATTAAGTTTAACGCTTTATAACCGGCTTAGAGTGAACGGCACCTAATTTCTCCCTCAGTGTTGAACCATAGGTTAAGATTTTTAGAATAAAGAAAATGATCGCCAACGTAAGAAGCTCTGAATTAGATGCAATGTATATATGAAGTTCATATATTTTGAACTGCGGTATTAGATACGTGTGATGCTTGATCCTCGCAGTAGATAGCGCTATTTACGCAATAGCGAAAATCAGACCTGAAAAAAAAAAAATCAGGCCTGTACGGGATTCGAACCACTGACCTCTGCGATACTAGTGCAGCGCTCTACCAATTGAGCTAACAAGCCAACTGGGAGCAGGCCGTTAAGTTGATTCGTAATAAACCCGTGATGATTTTTAGAATTGGGTCAAATCCTTCCAAAATACTTGGGCAACAGAAAAGAGAGAGATGTTGAGAGTGTATGTTACCAACGGTCAAACATTTGGTGGCAACAGCCAAAAAATCGATTCGGCTCATATTCTCAAGTTACGTATGATGCACGACCTTCGCAGTAGATAGCACTATTTATGCAATAGCGAAAATCTGACCTGAAAAAAATCAGGCCAGTACGGGATTCGAACCACTGACCTCTGCGATACTAGTGCAGCGCTCTACCAATTGAGCTAACAAGCCAACTAGGAGCAGGCTGTTAAGTTGATTCGCAATAAACCCGTGATGATAAATCAGATGCAATGTATATATGAAGTTCATATGAACTACTGCGAGGATCAAGCATCACACGTATCTAATACCGTAGTTCAAAATATATGAACTTCATATATACATTGCATCTGATTTATCATCACGGGTTTATTGCGAATCAACTTAACAGCCTGCTCCCAGTTGGCTTGTTAGCTCAATTGGTAGAGCGCTGCACTAGTATCGCAGAGGTCAGTGGTTCGAATCCAGTACAGGCCTGATTTTTTTCAGGTCTGATTTTCGCTATTGCGTAAATAGCGCTATCTACTGCGAGGATCAAGCATCACACGTAAGCTCTGAATTGTTACACTAATTCTCCTTTTAACACTTTAGGGAAATGTATAGAGAAAAGTATGGAGAATATGGATACCGATGTAATCTGTAAAGGGTCAAAATAAACAACGTGAAGTAAGCTTTACTCGTTCAAAGCGTTAGTATGGCTCTTAATATCAAACGGTCTGTTTACGTATGATGCACGATCCTCGCAGTAAATAGCGCTATCTACTGCGAGGATCGTGCATCATACGTATCTAATACCGCAGTTCAAAATATATGAACTTCATATATTTCATTGTAACCAAACGGTCTGTTTATTGATAAGTATCGCTCAAAGAAAAATCATAGTCTAAGGCTAAAAGCTTGAGGGGTCGAATGTAAACTTTTGAGAGGAAAAAGAATAATTGCGAAATATCGAGAAGGTTGAAAACTCGAAAGCAAGATTGTGATGTTGAACCAAAGAAGGTGACTTTGGTTCGAAGCATCGGGAGTTTCGAAGGGTCGAGCCTCGAAAACTCAGGATTCTACTGTCGGTTAACTTTTTTTAATGCCCTTTTGTTTTGTTCTTCAAGGATCTTTTTTTATTGGCTCCTGAATGAATAATCTTTGTGCGTTTCAAGTACTTGACTTCCTGATTACGGCATAACTACTTAAAACCCATGTTGGCCCGCAGAGTTTCGCTATCTTTTAATCTTCTGTAGTTCTTGTTGAGAGGTATTTTAAAAACAATACCACCTAACCACAATTAGGTAAACCAAACTACTTATTTACTTACTCGATGGCCTCTGATGGTTTCCGCTCTGACTAATCAAAAATGTTCTATTAATTTGAAACTTAATTAGTTAACTTCATCTTAGCTTATTACTGACTCTTCAAAACGAATGAACACCACTTTCTTTTCAAGGTGTATCTTTCAGCTTCGTTCGTGATCAGCGCGCGTGAATAAAGTTTTGTATCATGCAAATGTCACGAGATGCAAAAGATGCAGTGAATTGAAACGAAACATTTAAGCTCTTTTTGTTAATCCTTATCTTCAATTACGCAGGAAAATCTCGGGTGTCGTATATTAAAATATTTACATCACTCGAAACTACTAAAGATTTCCTGTGTGAATCACGAGTCAGCGGTGCTATCACGTTTCGATGTCTTGTGAAGCTCATACTACCCTTGTGATAAGGTGAGAATCACTGGTGAGTTTTCAAGTGATCTTATCTTACCGACGTTATTTCCGCGCTGTCAGATTTGTAAAAACTTGTAATATGTCTTAGACGCTCAATACAAAGTAAACATTGAACGCGTTTTGTCTAGAGAATCTAATAACGCTTCCCGCATACATAAAAGGTTCAGATTTTTTTATTTCTTGAGAGAAATTGATTAAAGAACAAAATCGTTAAAAGTCTTTTGTTTCACTCTGCTTGCAATTACGGTTACTTACATCAAAATCTATTAAGAGCCATCATTTAACTAATATTGGTCAAATGGTTATCTTAGGTCTCTTTACCTTCTCTTTGGCTATTGTCCGTTTGGTTTCCACACTTTCTAACGCCTCCTTCTGTCAAACTGAGCTCTACCAGTGCGATTCTTTAAGTGACAATGGAATGAAATGGCACGCTGTTAAGTGCTCGCGTCCAGCCCCGTCATTCCATTTATCTAACGTGAATGCAAATCAAAAATATGCAACAAAGTGCTAATCACGTACCAACACTGCTCAAGCGAGAAATATAACTGTGTGATAATAGACTTACAGCAAGAACCAACAGCGCTAATAGAGATCTTTTTATACAGGAGATGTGCCCAGCTGTGTCAATGTTTCTTGTGTCGTAGAGAGTTGCAATGTCACGCGAAGTAGTTTGCCAATATGCTGAGTTGCCAAGGCGAGCTGTTATGTTTGTTTTCCTTGTTCAGAGGTTGAATATATTAGCATAAAGCTAATGTCGTTCGAGCTTGTTAATCACCGTCAATTTACTTCGTATTAGTTCTAGAATTATAGTAATGAAAAATTATTTCAAAGAGTTTAAACGGAAACTGCAACGTGCCTGCACAAATAAGTTTTTCAGTCTTTCCTTTTAAAATTAAATTGTAGATGAATCCACGTTTTTCCGGATTTCTTTTGAAACATAATAGAGTCGTAAGTGATTGACGTCAGCCCACGGACTTCTTTATTCAGTTCAACTTCAATGCAAGAAAACAACCCTCTTAAAATCGCACCAACACTTAATTGTTTTTGTCTGTGCATGGCTGCCGGGACCTTATTGTGTGTTTTATATTTCTTTCTCCTCACCAAAATAACTTATTGTTCATGTTAATATAATGACCTGGTTGTTTTTTCCTTTTGTTGGGGTCGTAAGCATTAATGAGCTCAAGTTCATTTTACCAGAAAGCACTTATTAATGTGCGCCACATATTCAATACAAAACATTTAACGACGTTTTTAACCGCTGAGCTATACCGTTAATTACCAAAACTTTACCTAGAATAAGTTAAGTAAGTTTGTTTTCTCCTTCCAATTTCATTAAACAGTGTGATAAAAAAAATTACGAGAATAGACAGATTTGTACATTGTACAGGTGGAAGAACAATAGGACACGTAGTCCCCTACAAGGTTCATCCGCCTAAACCCAACCCACCCATCCCACCCCGGGGATTTGTACATTGTACAGGTGGAAGAACAATAGGACACGTAGTCCCCTACTAGGTTCATCCACCCAAACCCAACCCACCCATCCCACCCTGGGGAGGGACATCCATCACACAGTAATCTCGTGCGTGGGAAATTAACCTCTCCTACCCCTCCTGCAGGAGACAGGACATCCATTTATTCGTCCCTATCCGAGAAGACTAGAATATCTAACCATTTCTTGATGTTATAGAAAGGAAGCAATTCTTCTCAATTATTTTAAGACCTTGAGTATTGGTCCGGCCGGGCTCGAACCTTCGACCTCCCGCACAACAGTCTAGCGCTCTATCCATTGAGCTAACTGGGAGGCGGTATATCAGCAGAGGAGTACTTCATTGATAGAACACCTCATTCTCCAGCCCAAGGAAATGTGTGGCAGATCCAATTGAGAATTGCTAATAATTGCTTGGGAGTTATATGGCAAAGATTAGACCTCTCTAATTGATTTAATTTCACGAGGCACGTACTTAGCTTGCTTCAACTTCAGGATGCACGCACTTCAATATATTTGCATCATCCATCAAACGAGTAATTAGTGTCAATGAAGCCCTTACTACAGAAAGAAAGGCAAGATTAGATATGGCCATAGATATAAAACACTTGTAAAATGAGACTAAATGAAGACCTTCCTTTCTAGTTTAACCCTTTGAGAGTGACTCGCATCTAAATTAAGAAAATTATCGCCTTCCAAAGAAGCTCTTGACTTTTAAACAATTCTCCTTGTCAGTTTCATAGGAAGCGTATTGAACAGCGTTGAGAATATGCATAAAGTGTGTAAAGGGTTCAAAGCGCTTCATTTAAACTAGTAAAAATTTATCAGAGGGGTAGAAAGGCTGTTCTCAAAAATTCTAGTCGGCTGTTTTTAAAGAATGGAATTCTGTTTCGAAAAATTCATTCTGAACTTTGTCCTAACTCGTACAATTTTCAAAATGCAGTTTATTTTCTCTTTCATCTAATACAATGGTAAGCTACCCCACTGGGCATTTAATTGCTTAAATCTGTCATTATTTCAAAAGTTATCCTTTTAGTATAACAAGCAGTTAATGAATGTTTACAATCACAATGAATGAAGGTGAAGATTTGGCCCTTAATTCCGGAAAAGAGATTTATTAATTCCGGTGAAGTGAGTAAACTATTCTTTTTTTTTTCACATTTTCTTCCCTTATGGCGCCGTTACTGGATTGCAATGTAATGAATTCCTTTCATCCTTTCATAAAGAATGAGCTATGACTATTTAAATTGGCTCAAATTAGGGACAGAAATTCTACAATTTTGGGGGTTTTTATCCCTTGTTTTCCTACGGTTTTTTATTTACTTTTATAGAAAGATGGTACCTTTTCAGATTAATTTTGTGGCTGCTGATGTCCTTAATTCCCAAATTATGAAAAAAAAAACACCTTTCTTGTGAAAATGATAGCTTCATGATATCATTTCAATTATCCAAATATTTATTATCAACATACAGAAAGTAAGCACAAACTTGACAGCTTTGTCTGAAATTTTACCCTTCCCCTAAAATGTAGCTATTTTTGTTCCGCTTCGTTTGATTGTTTTGTTTTGTTTTCGTACTATTTTTTTACGCTAATGATCTACAACTTGATGATCTACAAATACCATTCGTTTAAATTCAACTTTTTTTCTCCTCTCATCCTTTGAAAACATTTTCTTGAAAATGATTTAACATATTCCCTGCAGGATTGTACCTTGCCACAACGTACGTCAGCTTACCGTCAGCGGTCTGAGCCCTACCCATTCCCAACTCACTACTCTTCTTCCACACCACTTGCGTGAAATGCCCAGTGTTGCCTTGGAAACCAGGCTTATCGAATCTGTAGTCTTTGACTTCATTGTACCACATGTTTGTCGCTTCATCAGCAGCTGTTTCAAACCTTCCAGAGAACATGGCTATGTTCTCACCGTACCCTTTACGTTCCGCTTGCGAAGCGTGCTGAAGTTTACCTGCACGTGCCAGTTTCTCGGCCCAGGCCTGCGCTTCCTTTGCAATCTCATCCGACCAGGTCAGTGGTGACACTCGATGCTTGGCACGGTATTTGTTGTGAGCATCAAGGGCCTGTTTTGCAAAACCGGTTTGTGGCACAGAACAGGGGGCTTTCGGTCCTCCTTAGGGAAAAAAGGATAGGCCTAAGACGTAGTCCCGATATATAACCATGTTAACCGAATAAACCGATTATTCATGGCTAAAACTGGAATTCACTAGTAGAAGATTATGGTTCACCCAAGGAGTCATTCATCTCCATAAATTTTCTGAAGAATAATTATCAACTATTCACCGAAGTTGAGGTGGCCAGCCAGTGGTGGCCACCGATACTAAGGTAAGTAGTTCTTTTAGTATATATTGAAACAGTAAGATATATAGCACGAAAAGATGATTTTCACTCTTTTATTCCTGCAATGATTACAATATTTTCGGGGCGCGAAACTCGCAAGTTGCCCGGAGGTGAATGGCAAAGGAAATTCGAGGTTTCAGTAGCCAGTCAGAGCGCGCCTTCAATGCTTTCCGCTGTTTTAGTTTATACCAAAACACATTTGGTGAGTCTGCGGTTTTAGCCAGCTACACTACTGTTCTTCAAAAGTGAAAAATCTCTCACTAAAATATGTATTCTTACATAAATTTGGTAGTAAATAGACACAGCAAAACCGTAAATGACATAGAGGAAATTAAGCACTTTAAAGATTTGCGTAAGAAATAACATGCATTTGAATTTCTTTACCTGTACTTGAAGAACTCTTAGAATCCTTTGGGTCTTGAGTACGTGGAGAACCTGCATTAAAACATAAACGCATGAGAGAGATTAAACACGGTGTTTACGCGAAACAGGAAACGTCAGCTTGTCCTTTCACGTTTCACGTAAAAAAAAGCGTGAACCTTGCTGTTCTAGCTTCGTGTGAGCTCACGTCATGGCGGATTTGAAGGCACCCTTTCAAGTCTAACAAGGAATAGGTTTGGTGCGGCAAAGCGCAACCGACAAACGTGCAAAAATGGCGGGAAAACAAGATTATAACGTGGTCACTCTTGCCGTTCACGTTTCACGTTTCACGTTTAATTCGTTAGTGGGTGATTGGGTGGGTGAGTTAATGAGTGAGTGAGTGGCGAGCAGGTGTGTGAATCGGAGTAAGTGAGTGTATAAGTGAGTGTATGAGTGAGTGAGTGAATGAATGAGTTAGTGAATTAGTGAAAGAGTGAGCAAATAAATGACTAAATTAATGAATGAGTCAATGCACGAATGGGTGAAATAATCTGTGATCGATCTTAAAGAAGTATGCTCCGTTTTCGCCGTTCCTTTTAACAAGGAATTTCAAAATACATAGATACAACCTTGAGGAAGTGCTGTTTTCATGTCTTGAGCAAAATTGTCCTGTTTTCTGGTTTCTGCAATGCAAATGCAAAGAGATGAAAAAAAATAGTTGAGAAGGTTATATGAATGAATGACTTAAAAAAATGAATCCTTATCTATAGTTTCTCTTCATTAATTCTTATGTATGCGCATCCAGCTACAGATCAAAAGCTTTGGTTGTCAATAGCTGCGAACTCGGAGTTAGCGATCCTATGAAACGGAAGAGCCAAGTCCGGCCGTTACACGTCAAAACATTCCTGTGGTCTGAAATCTTCTGCTCAACTATTTGGATATCAGTTTTTCAATTTAACTTCCCTCGGGCAATCTTTTTTGATCTTTGAAAAATACTGCACATTTCTCTGATCCATTCTAATCAAGTTCGAAGTTTTATTATGTGTTCTGTATGGGTTTGACTGGGAAAAGACTTTTAGCGAAAAAAAAAACTGAAAAAAAAAATGAATTGTACAGTTTAATAGACATTGCTGTGGATTTGTCTTTGATATGTCTCGTCCGAGATCATAGAAGTTGATCCCATCTATTTTATAAAACACGCGATAATAGACTCTGCATGTGGCGAGTACTCAGAGCTTGCTCCTGGCGTTCTTAAGTCGGTAAGAACGCAGCGTTTCGAGAATTGGCGATAGGAAAGATGAATTTCTGGCCAAATTTATAACGTCTTGTCTAGCTTCTATAGAGGATCTTGCTTTGAACCCACACTAAAGTTAGCGTTACGCTTACGCAGTAAGCAGTAAAAGATTGATTCTTACTTGTTGAAAATTAGTGTGGGCTGAAAAAATGTCCGGTATCAGAGTCTTTAGCATTTTTTTTTTTTTTGTTTAATATTTAAATGTTCCGTGTTGTAAATACTTCAATCAATGATCTTGAATGATTGATTAACTTCTGAACCTCCCACCTGATATTGTCGTCACTGTTTCCCTGGAATAACCACCTTGATCTTAAAAAGAAAAAAAGACGACCATTAGAAACAAACAGAGCTAATATAGTGTCCAGCCAAAAACTCTTCTCTGTGGTCCTTAACGCATGGAAAACATACAGAAGAAATGCAAGATTAAATCCATGGTTTTTGTGATTCACTCTTACCATTTCCTTTTAGGGTCACAGTCACGGTGGACAAAACAGTCTTCTTTGTACCATCTGGGAGTATGATAGTCTGTGATAGAAAATGTTTCCACAAACAGAGTCAACTGTCGGAAAAGCTTTTATCTTTTTTAAATGAATTGTAATTTACCAACTCTTGAAGATTCTTGAATATTTTCATCCATTCGTCTTTGACTGCAAAGTACTACTGTACACGAAATAGAAATGGCAAGGAAAGCTAACTACCTTGAAATCTGTATTAGAAAATATCAGGGTCAAGACCTGAGTTAGCGATCCTACTGCGAGGATCGTGCATCATACGTATCTAATACCGCAGCTCAAAATATATGAACTTCATATATTCATTGTATCTCAAACCTGATGCAATAGGTATTGAATTTTATATTTCCTTAATTTTGATCAAAATTTACGGCATCACCTTTTCCTCTGTCCGCGTCTCAACTCCTTGTGTTGGTCTTTCCTCGTGTTTCTGCCGCCGGTACACGGGCACGGAACCTTGTTTACTGGCTGATTCCTTCTCAGGAATTTTAACAGGCCCATCCTGCAATGACAACAGACATCATTCGGGATAAATGTATAGCCTGCGTCGGGCGTCTCTCCGTTCAGCGCGGCGAAAAGCGACACTATACAGACCCTCCCACGGGACCCTTAACAAAGAGCTTCGTCTCTTTGTCGGTGCACTAAAAGAGGGAATGCCTGATTAAAGACTTGTAAAAAACTCGAAACCGAGGGGCAAAACAACAAATTTCTGAATCAAATGCTCGTAACGCTCTCCAGCTTCACGTACTTTGGAAGGGAGAACATTCTCCGCAAAGGCCCTCATCATGTTTCCTGCTGGCTTGTAACGACCAACCACAAACTCTTTACCGTCGGCACTCTTAGCTCTTCCAATGCCCAGCTCTTCGCTGCTCTTCCACACAACTTGCGTAAAGTGACCGGTGTTTGACTGAAATCCAGGTTTACCAAAGTTATAATCCTTGACTTCGCTGTACCAGCTGTTTACAGCATCGGTGCCGTCAATTTCGCGTCCACACACCATATAGATATTTTCTCCATCTTTGGTGTCGTCATGTTCGAGGCGACCTTTTTTTGCGATTTTCTTTGCCCAGACCTCAGCATCTTGTGCTAAGGCGCTAGACCATGTCAGTGGTGGAGCTTGGTGAGCAGCGCGAAACTTATTGTGAGCCTCCAAAGCTTCTTTTCCAAAAGAATTCATAACACTGTTTTACACTGAAACTGAAAATAGCGATATTGACGTATTGAAAATGAACTGCTGGACTTTAGCACGCCGGCAAATTTTTCAATTGTCAAGTGATTAGCACAAGGGGTTTCAACTTCCATTACGAGATGTACTTCAGGAAGATCAAACCCACAACAGTCATCATGCATGTCACGCTAGAATGACCAAGAGTGGTGAGGTTTTTAAGAGTGGTGTTGTTTATTGCGAGAGTATTTCCGAAGCATTTGCATCAAAAGAGTACACACTTAAAAAAATCACGAGACTGATGTTGTAGAGTATTTTAAAGGATTGCTATTTTGAGTATTTTTAGGTTTACCTTTTGTTTTGATGAGTCTCGCCTTTTTGCGTCTACGTTGTTATTTTGGTAGATCTATTGTTTTGATCTTTTATTTTTAGTGTGTGCTTGAACTTGGCTCAGTTCGCGGATTTCCTTCTTGTCGTGCTAGACATTTTAATCGCTTGTTATGGTTGAGAATAATTGGTTTGCTCGGTGGTCATGTTTGGGTTGGTAAAACTGACCTTGAGTTTTACCCACACTGAGATGCTGTTTTGTGCGCCTGATTTTCGATGCAGCTCGATCATTGGCGTTTATTGGTTCTTTGGTGCTCGCCAGGTGCTTCGGAGCGAGCCACCCTATTTCCCCCCTTTGCAAAACAACGAATACACTGCGGAAACTTCCACGGTCAGCTGACCCAAACATGTCTACGATTTTCCTACTTAAAGCGTTGGTTCCTCACGTTAGAGCATGATGATTATTATTGATGCATAGAGCGTTGCTGTAGTAGCTCTCCAGAAGAGAATAAAGAAGAAAATTACAGGTTCTTGATACCTTTCGATAATTCTTCCAAGCGAATGGCAAAAACCCTCAACACTGATATGGAATCGGGAAAAGTATAAAGCAAATTAGGAGAAATTTCGGGAGGCTGAATTTTTAGCAAATGACGTAATCATTCATAAAGATTATTAAGTGACTTGTCTTGGAGAGGTTTCAAAACTGCTCGAGGGCAGCAAAAGAGAAATAAACAAGTGAAAACGAAATTCATATTTTGCTCTTTCGCACAACTGAAAGTAATCAACATATATAATAATGATCGAACCACTTTAAATTTTCCTTCATAAGAATGCTATATTAGTAAGTTAAAGATAGCTAAATGCATAGTATTAATATATATTTCGAAAATTGTTTTAATATTTACAAATCGTCGTTGTAATAAATGAAAGCCAGTTTGATTGATTAACACTTGAATATTTCATATATAGAGAGTATAAGGATCGAGCTAGAGAAAAATAAATCAATTTCCTTTGGAATATTGACCCTCACTCGGTTCGCAAATATTGGGATTACAATCGAAAAGCGGATACCGTGGAAACGAAATCCTTACATTGGAATATCAGCCTAAAAACGTGAGGAAAATTAATTCAAGCACACTTTATATTTGTTTTTTATCGCCTCAGTTTTCATTGTGAGTTTTAATTTTTCCGATGACATTGTGGGTGATTGGCACGTGTCTTTATAAGACCAGGTGACGAATTTTCCCTGTAGAAATTTTCAAGACGATCGACGTTTTGGTAGCTGGTTGCATTTAAGTCACGAAATGGCAAAATCGCGAGAAAAGCAAATTAAGAATTGTTGAACACATTTCTTGCCGTGAAGAGCAGAGTATTTTGTTTGCTATTGCGCACATACACTTGAGTCATTATTTACCCATAACAGAAAATACATGAATATTACATTCTGTGTTTAAGGCTTACCCATTTACAAACTAAGATCTTTATCTAAACGTTCCCCGTCCGACATTACCGACGCTTTTTTGTTCTGTTTGTTTTTTTTTTTTCCCTAAGTGCTCTGCTAGGGCAAGTTAAAAGTGGGGCTCTTACAGAAACATAAGCTTTTTCTTCTTTGAACTGCAGACTTTTAGGACAATAATATGTAAATTTGATGAATGAATCGTATTCTTAAGAGACTAAGGAACACCTTTTTGCTTTCTAGAACCGACGTCGACGATTTTATTGAGAAAACTGTAACATTTTTTCAGAGTAACTGATCAAAATTTAGTCAATTATTTTAAGAATTTGATCACTTTTTCTCTCTTTCGATAGTAATTGCAAGTTTTTGTTTTCCAGCCGCTTTGTGGACGATGTCTACAATTTGGAAGAATCGAACCAGGAAGATCATATTGCCTAGAGGAATATCAAATTAAAGATTTCGAAGAGTAGAAAGACAAAATTTGTCATTTCACATTGTATTTGTATGTTTTCGAATGTCCTGGGGTTTCTTGTTTGTAATTCGAGAGTAGTCAAAGAAAATTCATTGTGACGACCACCATGCGTTTATTGTTTGAAAGACGTGTCGGATAAACGCAATAAATTCTATACGACTTACCTCAGCCAAGAGTCATCATCTTCATACTGACAGACTGCTTAGAAAGGTTGCAAATTAAAAAAGATATAAGCAAAGCAGTTGAGATACCTTTTATACTGTTTATATCCTGGTACAACTGGCTGTGAGACGGTTGCTCGAGTCGTGTCCGAACAAGTGCTTTATTCAGACTGGTCTTCTGGGGTACGATGTTTCTTAAAAACCCAATGCGGGTTCAATTTGCATAAATCAGTAAACATGTATTCTAGGCCCTGTTCAAGGCCACATGTTTTTTTTTTTATCCATATTTCAAATGCCCTGAGGCGTTATTTTGAGGTTAACCTCCATTGAAGAAAAATCTACGGGAACGTCTTCCTATTCATTTTATAGAGTGATCCTCACATTTTTTTTCTAGTAGACACCACCATGTAGCAATAGTTACTAAGGGAAAGGACAGAAAATACTTGCACCGAAGTCTGTTGTTACCACTCGACTTAAATAATTTATGCTTACTGACTGAGTGAAAGGGCCAGAGGGAAAACCTTCGATCCGAGGTCATGACGTACGGACCGAGTGCAGCGGGGTACTTGCGTCACGTACAAGAGCCAAATATTTTCCCGTTCGGCCCGATGAAAATGGTCATTAAGCAATTTATCGTATGACCACTAAGTGTAGAAAATTTAGAAAATTTCGTCGCTACCAAAATAGCACGTATCAGCATATAAAAGAAAGGCGCCCACTGGACAACTACTGTAAAGATTCTTAGGAAAAACTTCCTCTTTTTATTCTTCGTCATAATTTCCCCTTTATTTTTAGTTGACTTCTACGATTCCAATTCACGTTATCGGAGTATACGAAAGATCCGTGTGAGTGCAGGACTTGACGGCTTATTCCGGACCGGCTTCACGTAAACCAGTCCGGCCCTGCACACGTCAGCTTTCACTATGAGATTGCGCGCGGGGCCGTAAGTGACATTTGATAACTTCATTTATAAGAATTCGATAGAATTATGACAACTATTGCTGCCATTCACAGAACAATGGCAAAGGATGCGCTATGGTTTTCTGTGACCTATGGCCTGCTTCTCAAGTCCCTTGTGTTGAGTAACGAGAGGTGGTCAACCTCGTTCGTTCGACATCCGCTGACGATCGCCAAAGAGCTTTCTTTGAAAAGTGCTTCAGTGTTTCTGAAATCCAAATATAAATTTTATCTCTTCAGAATCAGTCGCTATTCCATGAACTGCTGCAGGATTAAAAAAACGGCGAAATTAAACCTGACTGACATCCCTTCAGGGGTAAGTCGGTAGTTGGGGAGTCACTTTGCGTATAGAGTGCACTTCGATTGGCTGTCGCAATGCGAAAACCTTGATCATGATCATAACAGCCAATCAAAGCAAATAAAAATATCAAAAGGAGCAGGTGAGAATTCAAAGAAGAATAATTTAGCAAACTACTCTTAGCGCGGGAAAACGCGGGTAACCAAGTCGTGGTTTCATTTTTTAATCTGACTGGTTGAAAAGTTTGTGCGAGTTTCTGGTCCAGTCAAGTTGCGAAGCAAAGGAAAACCAATAGTAAAATGTTTGAATTATATTGTTCGTCGTTTCCACGTTTAACAACGGGCTTAAACTGTTCTTCATTGTCCTTCACTGCTGCAAAGAAGTGGCACTCCTATGTCAGCCTTTCAGTAGACAAGAAGAAAAAAGGTCAATTCTCTACATTATGGAGGCTCATCACGAGATGACCAAGACTAAACCTGATTGAAGCCTGTAAGAAGTTCCTGGATGGAAATTTATCAGAACTCCAGGAGAGTCATTCCTTGGGCAGGGCTCCTACTATGGACATCATCTATCACGCAAAAATGTTCTTTTAAGGTTCCAGCCAAGCGCTGTGACAACAACAATGGGAATGAAAGAACAAGAAAGTCAGCAAGACTCCCTGAGCCTAAAAAGATTCTTTAATCTAGCCATGGACGGAGGCACATGGCCTTTAAGTAGCAACTGACAAGACTTTAGAGTTAGGCTAAAAAATGGACTAAGCCTAGAACGAGGTAGCAAAATTTAAGACTATTCCAACAGCAAAGTCAAAGATTGTGAATTAAACTCATCCAAAAAGAAGAAGGGAACAAAATCAGAGGTGCGACCTGGACTTTGTTTAAAATTTCCGATTCAAATTAATGTTCAGAGAGAGAAAAGTCCAGAGGCCTGGCCAGGCGCAGCAGCTCATTTGTTGCTGTTTTTATTTTCACTTAAAAGTGCTTCTATAAGGAAGGAAGTCACTTATATCCTCAAGTTGTACAAATGAATAAAAGGACCTCAACACAAAATACATGCAATGTGTTTCTGCTCATTGAGGACGACTGTTTACAATGTTAGCCTCTAAAGGGAAGCCCTGGCTATAAAAAGTACCTTGAAGCTTTTATTACCCTTTATTTCACGATGCATGTCCAGCGAAAGGCCTTGTAGTGTAGTGGATATGATCCACAGTTGCATTCGACCTGAGGTTTCGGTGTCGTCCACGGTCTAACGCCTGAATATTTTTTTTGTCCTTTTTTTCCCCTTGTTTTTGTTTTTGTTTGTTGTTTTTTTTCCTCTCTCTTCTTCCATCTAAAGAGAAAACATGACACTCATTTAGATTTAGGACTTCCTCTCAATTTAACATTTAGTTTCTTAACATTTGATTTAAACTCAGCCATCGTTTAACCATTTCTTTTCATTGAACACGAATCCGATGAGTCAGGAGGTCACTGTTTACAGGTATGAAGAAAAAAGGAGGAAATAAAAGAAGAGATATATGCCGCGATCATACAAATTTAAATTAATCACACTCCTATTAATATACAAAACGCATTCTTTACGGCATTTTTTTTTTTTTTCACCATTTTTTGATTGGGCTACAGCTTATAAGTGATAAAAATTGTGGGACGTTAAAGAACCCACACACTCTTCGAAAAGAGTAGGGCACGTAGTGCCCGGTGTTGTGGTCTATCTTTGTGTAGTGTCTAATCTAGGGTGAGTTGGGGAGGGAAGGTGAAATCAATACATGGACTGAAGTGGCTGATCTCACCTTAACTGATTGTAAAAAAAGTGCGACTGATTATCTATATAGTAGTTTGCGCTATATAAATGTTAAATTGTTGTTGTTGTTGCCAAAAATCGTGTCTACATCATGACGTGATTCTCAGTGATTGGTTGCTGTTTCTAATGCATATTCATGCAAAATTGTGGTATGCACACCAAACCATACTAGTGTTTGTTGGATGAAGACGTGTTCGATGGGGCTATGTGTATGAGCTGGAAAGGACATGGAAGATGACTGAAGAGACGTTCATGTCAGAGAAGGAACTGTTTTCTCTTCTTCTTCTTCTTCATCAAAGGTATACAGTACTGTTGATGGAAAATATGAGAGTTCAGCTATTGAATGTTGTCTTCGAGAGCTAACATGTGCGCGTGTAGTTCAGTGGTTTTCGGCGTCGCTTCGTTTCGAACTAGGCAGCAAGAAGCAGTAAATTGATTCGCTTTAGTTTGTAAAAGCTTCTCACCTGTAGGGAAAGAAATTTTAAAAAATTTAGAGACACTTGAGATCTCGCCGCCCAAACTTCATTCACTTTCCAAGGCTTCATGACCACGTGCAAGTAGCAATTTTATTAACAATGCCTTCTGGACATTTTTGCGGCGATAATAAAATTTGCCAGGTCATTTCACAAATTTCTTGTAATTTTATTTCTGGAGTTAAAGTTTCCAGGAAAAATAAGTTAAAACTACTTGTCAATAATAGAACATGGACTTTCACTTACTCGCCCTAAGTTTCTAGGTGGAATACTGGGTAGATAATTTTGAACTATCCCTTAAAAATTTGCGTCTTTCTCACCAGCTTAATCACTTTTTGTTTGATGAAGCTGTTTTGCGAGGACGAAAAGGAATGTGAAATATTTGGTCGAAAGGAAGACCGGAATCACTGAAATAGGAAGAGAGGATCGACAAAGATAAGAACTTTACGTTGTTATTTAGTTTTAGTAAAATGGTGACTGAACTAATGTCGGACTCTACTCGAGAATTTCAAAGTGATGATTTTACTATCAGAGATCTGTAAACTGTCTGCATTACAAGAATAATACAAGAGTGAGTACATAAACCGAATGCAAATATGGCGTCCAATTTGAGTTGCCATTGTTCTGGACTGACTAGCCTCTCGCACATGTACTAATCTTTTGTAGTTCCACGTGAAGACGAGGCTAGTCAGTCCAGAACAATGGCGATTCAAATTGGACACCATATTTGCATTCGGTCTATGGGATCGATGATATAGTTCTGAGGTACTGACTGTTTTGCATGTTGACAAATAACCGATCGGCGAGGTTAAACCAAACAAAACCAAGTTGAAATGATTCGATCGTTCATTACGCAAAAAGCAAACGCGAGTTTTCGATTTAAATAATTTATGGCTTAGTTCCTCGATGTGAATTCTTAAAATGCTACGCATTCAAAAATTCATTTTCAAATGATTTGGTCCATAACAAAAAAAAGGGAAAAAAAGGAAGGACGAATATTCAGTTTTAAACTATAGTCTTCATTTCTCGGTCAAAATTTCATAAATGCAAAGCACTTGGTACCTCAAGTCACCATAGCCATTTACGTTGCTATAGCGACAAGATGTTGATGCTGCAGAGAGTGAAGTTAAGGTGGCACCGCAAGTAATAAAGAACAGTAAAATAGGACATTTTTTGGAAAGAGTACCATATTAACCCCATACATTCCACTTTGTCTTTCACGACAAATCTTTAAAAACGAAGTCTACTAGTCTGAATCCATAATTAATGTATGAGGTTAGATGGTACTCTTGCCAATTTTTTTCTTTTTGTTTTATTTTTGGCAAATGGAGGAATTATATCGATCAAGTATAGGCGCTTTCGCAAAATTGGTGACGTAAAGAAAAACATAACTCAGTTGGGCTAAGGTCATCGAAGAGAAATATTTGGAGGAACGAAGATTTAACTAGTCCATCGATTTTCAATTCATGCAGTTAGCGCTGCCACCTTAAAAATTCACGACTTTGCTCTGACCATCAACTTACGTAATTAACATCGAAAAGAGAACAATGGCTTAATGGTTCATCGCGAATTCACGATTTGGCAACAAAAGCTGGCTTAATTCATTCTAAACTATAGCAACTTTTTGCAGAGGAAGAGCCATGATTAAATACAACGCCAACACTATTACATGAACTAAACAAAACTATAAAACAGACGAACTACAAAACTACTGAAACGATAAACGGCGTGATGTTTGTTACCGGGGCAATAACTCACGAAAAGAGCTCTTCAAACCACAATTCTGACAAATAAACGAAAATTAATTACCCTTTGACAATGATTTTACTGACCAATCGAATGACTAATAGGATAGGGATGAAGTCTGACTCCGTCAAAGACTGATCGCCCAACGAAACAGTAACAATAGCTGCAATTTTGGTAACTGCTGCGCTGAACAATATCGACTGACAACGTTTGACCCGCAACATAAACCGAATTTTTACTAAACGACATCGATAAACTGGATTACAGTTTTTGAGGTTTCCCAACAAATCTCAACAGCTAACAGCACCTTTTAAACGACCTTTTTTATTGGCATGTACATAACCATTGAATAAAACGGAACGACGTAATTTTTAACGACAGATCAGAACTGACCAATCACCACATTGTCATATAATAATGGCGTCCTACAATAACTCCACAACAAAAATAACCAACTAGTTACCAGAAATTCGACATTTTGACCATCATAACAATGCTTTTTACTTGACTGCGGTGGTTATTCGAGACTGTTAAAGACGAACTTGACGTTGATAACCTTTACTGGAGTTTATAAGCCAACGAAAACACCTTCCAACTGACGAATCAACTATTACATGTACCATTGACTGACTCATAAAGTCACACTTGACTCTTTTCGAAACGTGAATCAGCACCAGCTAACAATATTCAATTTATGCCAAAGTTCTCTTGCCGGTTTTAGATAATAATAAACCAGTGTCTGATTTGGAAAAAATTATAATGTCATTATGAAATCACACAGTTGCGGTTATTTATGAAGGCTGCAAAATCATCAATTTAAAAAATTGGGCAAAAAGAATCTTGATCGTGTTTTTCGAGAGGGGAGTAAACTCGATCTTCTCTTCTTCCAGAACAGACACTGGGTTTATTCTTTGTAGGGGAAAAATAATATTTTCCGTCGGCATTTCATGTAACACAGGACAAAGAAAAATCGCAAATAAGGTTTTTGTAAGTGAACAACGTTTCTTAATTTGACAAAATTTAACTTTTTCTTGACGCAACAAAAGCTGATAAGACATCGAACCAAGCAAATTAATCGTTACTTATTTTCCTAAAAATGAACGTTACAGCTCGCCCTTTTCTTCGACCAGACTCGAAACAGAATAGTATATTTGACCACGATTATTTTGCTCATAAAAACTTTTCTAAGACACGGAGCCAAGCAATTAAATTATCGTTTTCCCATCAACAAAAACGTTACCAGAGTCAATTTGGTGATTATTTCGCTAAAAAAAAAACAATAAAATGTTTTCGACACAGCATATCAAACTCACGGGGTACAAATAGTCTCTTACTGAATTTCGTGACCACGCCCACTTCATCGGCCCACTCAAATAGAGTGCGATTTTTGGATGTTATATCATCTTGCCGACTCTCTGTATTAAAAGTTAACAATGTACCACCGAAATATTGAACTATATTATCATGGCTATCCATTTTGTGTATTTTCGTACTACAAAGTAAACTTTTTCCCTCGTCATTTTCACCTTTTCCCGAGCGGGTCCGTCAAAATTAAGAAGGCGTTCGTGGTCAAAACAAGACCGAGCAAGGAGTCTTGGGCGATTTCTCTCTTACGCAAGCGAAAATTGAAAATGTACCGTCAAAATCAAAGAGAGGAACAAATTTCCTTTGTTTTGATATGTAAATTGTCGAACAAGGAGCAGATTGAACCTCGTCAAATGGCTAGTCAAAACAGCCACACCTTCCTCCCTTTGCTCGTTTCCTGTTTTATAAGCGTGAAAGCAGTGGGAGAAGAATCGGGTAGCTCGGAAAGCGCTTCACTATCGTTTACTTACGAGATAAACAAGTAAGACTTGTAAAGTTATTTTCCGAAAGAGTCGGAATAAATACCTTTTTTCAGGTTAGACTGCTGTTTTTACCTTAAACGTCGTCCAATAAATTTTTGTTGCAGCCTACTAATCTATACAATTTCGAAGGAAAATATTCAGATGCTTCACCGTCCCCGAAGGGGGTTCTGTCCTGGTGTACCGGTTCACAAGGGAATTAACCATTGTTCTTTCTTTGTTTAGGAGTTATCGGTTAGCTATTGTGTATTGTTTGGTCTTTTGTATTGGCTCTTGTGAACCGGTACACGAGGACAGAACCCCGAAGGGTCTCCACTCATCGAAGTGTGTACTGTAGCCAATGTAGTGAATCTTCAATCTCTTGTTGGGTTTGTCAACCTCCGTGACCTCAATATCATACAATTTTGTATCTTTTCTCTGTGAAGTGACCTTTTTAACAGGGGTGTATGCTGAATATTCGTTGCAGAATCGCTTTGGTTCTCTTATCTCTCTCTTTGGCTTGTCCGCCATTTTGAAAATTTGCTCAGGAGGGCATCTGGGTTAGCGGCCGCGCCAGGCTGGAACCGACAAAAACAAATGTCCATCGCAGTGGGGAAACAGTTTGATATGAAGAAACTTGACCACTGAAGGACACGGTGGTTGAGTCTGTGAAGTTGCTTGAAGTGGAGATGATGCTGATGCTGGTGCTTGTTCTTGTTCTCGCTACATGGTCAGCACAGCTGAAATCAATGATGGCAGTCAAGTTGCAGCTAGGGATGGTAAAGCTGGTGACAATGCAGGTGGTCAGGAGTTTCAGAAGTAGATGACTAGGACTTGTGAGATGTTAGGTCTCACTGGACTGTTCCATAGATATGGAACAGGTGCCAGTGGGGGATCTAAAAATGCAATAAAAAAAACTATTATGAATAACGTGATGGTGAGATGCTTGTTGTCTTCTGTAGAGTCAAAGCAAGAGCTAATTAAAATTATATCTTCGGTTTTACTAAGCATAACTCGAGAAATTATTTTATATATACAACAAAGATCGAACGCATTTTACTAACGCTTAATTACTCCTGGGTAATATCTGTCGAGTCTCTAAAACACAAGTTCATGTAAGAAATGTGATAAATATACTTTTTAGTGTGACTTAACTTACCTCTAGAAGCGTGTTTGTCCCTGTTGCTAATTAGGTTGGAAAAGAGCGATGTGTTCCAAACACGAAGTTATGCAGCCGATTTAGCCATAAACCGACGCGATTAGTGTACAGAGAGGCCATTAATATGAAATTACTCATGTTTTGATTTACAGGCACGAATGTTTCCAATTCGCTGAAAACCAACCAAGTTTAACCTCCACGTGCATTACTCCTTCATCGCCGCCATGTTGAATTGAGCTCTCTTATACCCAGTTTCTTAGTCTGCGAGAAAAACGCGAGAAGCACAGAACACCCAAATTCATCGTGAGAAGTTGGGTGGAAGCCTGCTTGCCTTGCGGTAATTAGGGGACTTCAATTAAAATAGAGGTGGCAGAGCCACCTAATTGCAGCAGTAAGTCAATTGTTGAAAAAATAGAACTGTTTGAAAACTAGCACAATCTGCACAACGCAGAGACGCTAAGAACAAAACCCCCTTACAAGGTGCACGGCCGCTGCTAACTAATGACTTGTCTTTGCTCCATTACATGCAATATCACAGTACAGAAAACCCACAGTTACGAATTACACAAAGATAAACTATTCATTTCTCATAGATCGTCATTTATTTCCCCAACACACACAAGTTCTTGGTAATCTGACTTTCTGACGTTACGATTTTAATAAGTCTCGATGGAAACTTTCTAAAAGTATACAGTAGTAATTTAAATGGTTGAACTGCTCGATGGTAGTACATTTTCACTGAACCTTTTTAACACGTTCCCCGCTGGATGATACCTTGCTACAATGTACGTAAGTCTTCCATCTCGACTCTTACAAGTTCCAACTCCGACTTCAGACGTTTCTCGCCAAACAATCTGTGTGAAGTGACCAGTATCACGGCTAAACCCTGGCGAGTCATATTTGTAACTATGGACCTCCGAATACCAAATTCTGACAGCGTCAGTAACATCATAGTGGTCAGACATGCGGCAAATATTCTCACCCTTGAAATTCCGCTCTTCTTTACGTGCGTGACGCAGTTCGTCGTTTCGTGACAGTTTCTCGGCCCAAGCTTGTGCGTCTTTTGATAGTGCTTGTGACCATTTAAGGCTGGGCACGTTATGATAGAGTCGTAGTTCATTGTGGGCTTTTAACACAGTGTCAATGAAGGAATCTGAAACTAAGGAAAACGCATTCAGAACGGAAAGTATAGGAAGTCGTTTTATGAAAAACCTCTTAGGTAAAAATGCCCGCTAGCTTCTCAATTACAACCCCAAAACGATGAATAAGCGACAACACTGAACGTGGAAGGGGGGGGGAAGAGGGGGGAGATGAAATATAAATTACGCAAAGTAAAACCACCCTTTAATTCACTTTTAAGTTACAGTCCCTTTTTTGCCGGCGATGAACCCACACATTTTTCGTTCACAAAGACAAAAAAGAACTGACAACAATCTGAATTCGCACGATCTCCTTGGCTCAACAACCCACAAAATCTGCAGCCATCTGGTAGGAGGGGGGAGTCCATTTAGAACTGGAACACCCTTGATAGCTCAGCGATTCCCAGCCATGCATTCTAAGCCCTCCGCCCCCTTAAGTACAATCGCTCCTACGGATACTCCCGTTTTTTATTGATCATCTTCATGCGTTGTGGTCCTCCCGCCGCTGAGCTACGTAGTTGAAATGCTTACAAAGCTCACTTACATTTGGTTGAAGTGGAATCTTGCACATCGATCATGATTTCTTGAGAAAAAGTATTGTCTGTAAAATGAAAGAAACAATGATTTGATTGGAAAGAATTAATATGAATTTATAAAAATCCTCCAAAATTAAAGGGATCAAGTCTATAAAAAATATCAACAAGGACTCACCTTGCGTTTGAAGCTTCTCTTCCGTTGACCTCTGCGACAAATAATTAACAAAAAAAAAAACAATACATTTAGGGCTTTATGAGGTTAAGACCTGCCTATCTGCGTTTTACTGCGAAATTGCTTAATTGCAGTAGGTTTTTATCCTTAAATCATTTTCTCTTGTTGTTATTCAAAAGTTTTAGTCAAGCTGTTCACATTGCCACAAGTTTTACCACAATTTCTAATAACTGGAGGATAAATTTCAGCCAGCCTCACCTTTGGAACGACGTTATCATTGAATGAATTTAACATATTTCCAGCTGGGCGGTATCTTGCCACCACGTATACACTTCCATCAGAACTTTTAGCCCTTGCCATGCCCAACTCCTTCGAATCCTTCCATATCACTTGAGTAAAATGACCTGTTCCAGCTTGATGTCCGCCTCTTGTAAAATCATATCGCTCGATCTAAAAGTAGATTCTTGTTATTGTATTATCCCAAGGCTACTATTAAAGTTGTAAAGCAAACCTCGTACTACTGTAGCTCAGTTATGCGAAATAATGCAGCTCCCAACCCCAATCCTTGATGGAGTCAGCTAATATAGCATCTAATTAATAAATGTTTAGCGCAAATCTTTCATTCCACACGTCTCTCTCTAGTCTCAATTATAATCGTTGTTTAGCCTTGTGACGCACTGAGCTGCGCATGATCTCTCTTCCTTATCAACACATTTTTTGGGAGTAGATGTTGCGTGATGCAACCACAACAAGAGCTGTGGCAGACGCTCTTACTTAGGCTCACTCAGTTCAAGTCTTCCATAGTGTGACTCCCTCAATCTCCTAACTGTTAAAAAGTCATGTGACGCACTGAGCTGACCATGAGCTCTCTTCCCTATCAACACATTTTTTGGGAGAGTAGATGTCGCGTGATGTAACCAAAGCAAGAGCCGTAGCTGATACTCCTACTTAGGCTCACTCAGTTCAAGTCTTCCATTGTGTGACTCCCTCAATCCCTTAAAAAGTCGTTAGGTACAATCAAGCGAGTTTATACTGTATATCAAAACTAAATTACCGATTATGAAGCACTTACCTCTGAATACCAGGTTTTTACGGCCTCTTCTGCAGCAGCATCGAAACCCTTTGAGGCCATAAACACATTTTCACCAATCCCTTCCAGCTGATCGTGTTGCAAACCACCTTCCTTAGCCAGTTTGTTAGCCCAGGTTTGTGCTCCTCTTGCGAGTTCATTGGACCAGCCTAAAGGCGATACGTTGTGCAAGGATCGTTTATTGTTATGTGCTTTCAAGGCAGTCCTTGAGAAGACATCCATTCTCTAATCACTGAGAAACAAATTCGCATGCATGATGTTAGCAAAACAACTGTCCCTTTTTTTTTTATTTAACTTTTTCTACGAACGATAGGGACCAGAGGAGTTAATTCAACTGAATCCATTTCCGCGACACGATTTGGTTTGTTTGACCTTTTGATAATTGCGATCGCGTTTTTACGTTTCTCTATTTTAAAAGAGAAGCGCGAAAACCTCTCTGGAACAATGGTCGATCCGCGAACCTTTCCGAACATGGACGGTCGGAAAACGAATCTCTCTCTACGAGCCTTGAAGTACAGAGAGCGTAAAGATTAGGCCCTCAGTAAGTACTCTAAGCCGTTCTTGTCGCGCGGATAGAATTTCAAGAGACGCGCCACAAGATCCCATCTACTTTTAAAAGTCAGTCAAAAGGATCGACCTTCGCTACAATTTTACAGTTTCTAAACTTGGCATGCAGTCAAATCTCTCAGTCAGGTGGTCGCAGCCGTCAGTTGTTTGGTACTGTCACGCAAGCTTTCCCTTCCAAACGCGTTGCGTGACAAGACCAGACAACGGCTGCAAAGAAGAGTTAAGTGGATGAAAAACATAATCGCTTCTAATGTTTTAGCTTGTTATTAATCAGATCCTGGGAAGTGTGAAGTTGACTAATAATTCTACTTGTGTAATATTCCGCTTCGCATCTTTGTTATCGGTGTAAGATCTCATGGATTAGTGGAACAAACCGATCGAGACCGAAACTCGTATCGATCGACTGTTATCATCAGGGGAAAGTAAGAACATACAAACAGAGCTTAGAGTTAGACCAAGCGCATCAAAATGACTTGATATAAGACATAAGTTCCGTGAAGTTCCGTGAAGATCGCTGAATTATTGTCGGCTTGACTGCAGCTGTGTAAATATTACCTCTGTACCTTTTGCTTGAACTTGCAACGTTCAGATGACTGCCAGGGAACTCGTCAGTCACTGACCCAGTTTGATAAGAAAATGCTGTTTCGCGTTTGTCGTCGACCAAAGAAGCCAAATATTTCTTATGTCCCGATTTTTTTAGAGAATTAGACTTCAGAATATTAAACAAAACTTGCTATGCAATATCGAACTGATTGTGGCGTCCTGTACCTGTTATTTGCATATCCTAAGCCATCACTCCTTTATTCAGAGCACGTGTTCGATGGCAAAGTTTTTTTATAAACTATTCCTTAGAGAACGAGGAGAGCTGTTAATTACAAATTAATTATTAACTTTCTTTAGAGAGTCTCAATTAACGAGATGGCTTATGGTAAACATCTTTGAGTGAATTTCGGCTCTTCCACGGTTTATATTACACACTAGCATTATTTTCACCGAACGGTGCCTGGTTTAACACTAGAACGTCTTAGTATTTCTTGCTATCGTTTTGAGCGGTAACATCTACTTTCCTTGACAAGTTTTCGATCATACCCTTTCAGTATGAATAAGAAATCAGCCGTTACCGGAGTGGTCTGACAAAATGAATTCTCTCACATAATTAGTTACAAGAAGAAGCCAAATCGGTTTAAATCGGAGCGAGTGAACAACGCAAAACGCCCTCGGTGCATGAAATATTTAATGAAAGGTAAACTATAGTTGTGTTTCGCTTTTTCCCGCTTATGTAGACGTAGACCTTTTTAGTCTCCAAAGACATCAGGGTATAGCTTCTCCTTGCAATATCAGTGCATCATTTCAAACAGGTATGGAGAAGAGACAGACAGGGTGCTGAATGATTAAAAAAAGACAAAAAATAAACAAGCGACTCTGTGGTTAATATTCGAAGAAATGTTTAGCAGATCACTCTCTCCGAACTTGTCGGTGAACAGTGTTTCCCTTTGCTCTCTTACAATTTTGTCACTCAAGCATCCATGGTCTAATACCATTTGCACCATGTAAGCTCAAGAGAGATTGCCTAAGCTAAAAGTTCATTAACTGATTCAAAGATCCAAATTCCCACCTTAGTTGTCTTAGCTAACCACGGCTATCAGTGACCCACCGCGGTAAATCCAACTGGTTGCTTTGAACTTGAACCGTTGAGCGGCCTGCACGAACTCAGAGTAGAAATTTACAGCAATAAGCAAGCATGTGCAAGCGTTGGTAAGAAATAATTGCCACGTGCCGCAGATGGAATGACTTTCTCATCAAATAGCAATCTTGGGGTTACCGACCTCCACGTTGAGGTTTAAATTTCACCGCGAGAACGTTCTATCAGGATCCGTAAATTTTAAGTGCAATAAGAAAATATCAGGTAATAGCACTTGTAAACCCAGAATCAATTGTTTTTTATTGTGACAAATCCCTTCTCCCTTATCGATCGATGTCGATATTGGCCTGTTCTGAAATCTCAATTTTAAGAAAATTAATCCATTCGGCGATAGAGGCAAGAGAGGTTTTTTGGCTGCTTTTCATTATTTCCAGATGCCTAACGCACAATGTTTTAAGGTGATAAGCTGCCAAGCGTAAATGTGTATACATGTACACAATGAAAGGGCTCCAGAATCAAAGACCTTCCTTTTTTGTCATGTGCTCCTTCTCAACTTGCATTTCAAGCTTCTCTGGAGCTGGTGACTCCAGCATGATTTTGAATCAACTGCCCCGCTAAAGTCAACCGGGCCATTTTGAACGTTGCTCGAGATTCCTTTCTAACTGACTTAAAACACCCAACCGAAAAAAACAGTCGATTTAACCAAAGGTTGGTGGAAATTTCGGATTTAACATTACGTATTGAAGTTGTGAAAATTTTTCCAGTTCACTATTATCCACTCACTTTATTTGTTTCCCTCTTCAATCTATGTCAAAACTCCACAAAATCTTCCATAAGGATAAGAATGACAAACAAGCTAAGACTGTAAGTGAAAACTGTATTTTCAAGTCAGTATGATCAGTAGAATTCGGTGTCACGTATTTCACAAAAGATCTATAGGTAAGCATCGCAGTACACATTTATTCTATTACTTTATTGCAAGTTACATCTCGTACGGTTAAGTTACTTCGTAAAGTCTTTTTCATTCAGGCAGTTACTCAAAGCCATGACTGTATCGCTGGGGAACACACATATATATGAAGGGGTTGTGATGCCTGCACAACAATCTTTTTAGAGCGAAATTTCCTAAGTACATTTTCAACTTTTATCAATTTTTAGAGAGAAGATCAATTGTTTCGAATTATGGTCTAAAATTTAGTCAGGTCTGTTTAATTACCACATCCATTTACAAATTCAACGTAAAGCAGTAAATCATAACGCGTTGGACGTGTGTAAAATGAATTAACAGACTGATGAACTGATGCTAAGAGCAATACTAACTTGATTAATTATCGCTACAAGACGTTTTCTTAAAGTAAGTCCAGTTATAAAACCACGAATACAGAATCTTTCTAATTGTTATGAACCGAGATTTGGCAGAAAGAAGCCAGATGATATCAAAGCAAGCAACAACAGAAAAAAAGGATTAGAAAACTGCGTTCAGTTCGCTCTTTTTAACGAGGTGTCGTCGTGATTTCTGTGTACAATCTCCTTCTTTTTGGCATTCATTCCTGAAAGAAGAAGAAAGATATAGCATTTAAATCTGTGCAGTTTGAAAGTTTTCCTTTTGATTTGACACAAGACCAACATCTAAAGGAAAGAAAACACCACTTCTTTAGTTAAATTAGACAACGCTGAGAGAAAAAGGAATCAAGTTAAATAAAAAGTGATAGAGGCGACAACGAGATCAAAAAAATTATAGTTAAGAGGAAGAAAATGAGAACATACAGTTGTTATGTAATGCATAATTGTTTGTCTTGGGGTAAGATTGAAATGGATTAACCATCTGTATCACGGAGAAAATACACCAAGGATTGGTTGCCATTAACAACTTATTAGAATAAAATATTCTTCATTATTCATATTTCTTCATTCATTTATTCTACATTTTATCATTTACTATTTTATTTATTTTATTTATTCTTTTCATTCACTTACTTATTCACTTAACAATATTCAATCCCCTCTCTGGTTCATTACGTTTAATTTTTTACAGCAATTTGGTTTTGTTTTGTTTTGTTTAGCATTGTTTACTTTTAATTTTAGGTTATGTTTTAACCTAACTCTGTTATTGACATTAATTTATCACTCAACGGCCCCTTTCGTACTTTATATAATAGTTTTAATCATTGGAGCTTTATTTTGTCCCTATCACGTGTGATCTTTTGCCTTGATTTATTCAATTGCCTATTTAGTTATTTATTTATTTTATTTTTTTATTTTTTGTTTGTGTATTTGTTTATTTATTTGTTTATGTATTTGTTTATTTATTTACCAACTGATTAACTATATTACATATGTTCTAATCACCTTCATAGCTTTTTCTGTCTAGAATTATAGTTTTATTTCGCTTTCATCTTATGACCTGGTCCGCTCTATTCCGTTCTTCGTGCATTATTAAGTTTACTTTTACAGTCTGGAGAATCGACAGGCATTTGAACAGTTACATGTAAGGGGACACAAAGTGTACCTTACTCAAAATTCAGTAGTATCTGAAGTTGTTTGAGGTTTCCTTTCAGGGACCATTCTTTTAAATCCTGTGTCTTCCTTAAGTGGAGAAATCTTCAAATTGTTGACCAAACTTTTACGCGACACTGTATGAGTGGCTGAGGTCTTTTTCCTCGACCCTAACCCTCTTTGCGAGTTCTTGTTATTACTGCCTACAAGTTAAATAAATCTTAAATGTACATCGACTTTGTCTATCTTAGGCAAAGATATATTCAAATGAAAAGGGAAGCCAACCCTAGAAAGATCAATGAACAACATTCCCCGCTATGCAGAAAACATATCTCAGTTACAATGAATATATGAAAGTTCATATATTTAGAACTGCGGTATTAAATACGTATGATGCACGATATCTCAGTTACGTTGCAATCGACCTTAGTCCCTTAAGACTATCAAAATAAAAACTCAATATAACTATGTTTTCATTATCTATAACATGACACTATAACCTTCACGTATTATTCTACTCTAACCTGAGAGAAACAAAATAAGACAATCAGATTGCTTTAGCATATACTTTTAGAAAGCTGGCCGGTTGATAATCACCACTGAAATAACATCTCGTCATGAAGTATATCCACAGCAACACCACCTTTTAATTTTCTTTTTAAATATTCCTTTCTAATAATAACAAAAAGCAGTGATATAATTCCTTTCACAAGAGTTAAAAAAAGATATCAATAAATTCGTAGCATGCGAGCAGACTCTTATTGGCGCTACGTCACCGTCGGCGGCGAAGCTTGCACTTTTCGAGCTGGAGAGCGATTTGGGCAAGCGGAAGGTCCGCGAAGACTCTGTTTCTAGAACTCTTCCACGCTCTTCAAGCTCGCCCACTCGTATATATCTCGCGAGCAGGCTCTCATTGGTTCTGTAAATCAAGCGGCAAGACCTGCGCTTTTTAAGCAGACTGGCGATGTGAGCGGTGGAGGTCCACGAATATTTTACAGCCAGATCCTTCTCTAACTCCCGACTTCTTCTTGCTCGCTCACTTCGATCGCCTACTCGAATCTCGCAGCCTTTGGCGCTCGTGCCACAGTATTAATGACAGCCAACTCGCAGGCTAAAAAATTTTAAGTAAGCTGACAAGGAGGTAAGTGCGACTAGCTTGAAGAGAGACAAACATACATTAGTGGTGATTCAGTTATAAATCAACTCACCGCACAAGTTGCACGTGATCCCGCACGTTGTTCTCATGCTTGTCGGAAATTTCTGACAGTAACCTCGGGTCTTTATCATGGAGCACGAATCGCTGTCGTAAACGTCCGCGCAGGTGACTGGAATTAACAAAAGAGAGTGATTATTGAAACTCATCCAATCCCAATTCAGTTCCAAAGAAAAAGTTTTTACAAACCTTCCGAATCGCTGCCTTGGTCATTACTTTCTTCCTTGAGCTGCTCGATCTCTTCGTCGGTTAACTTTTTCCTTCCTAAATGACAAAATGAAAGACGCGATAATGAGCTCCTACTTTAAAGTAATCTAACGTAATCATTAGTACATCATTGTGAAGTATGACCTGAATCACCTGATTGTCAGCTCCGTAGCAGGCTTGTTGACCAATCGACCCCAGTTAAAAATTAGATAATCATAAAGTCACACCCACCGGATGTAGACATACTTTATTTTCCACTGTGTGCAAGGCTGCAAGCTTCCTATATGCATTGCGGACCTACTTATTGGCTGTTTTAGGTAAATATACTAAGATAAAAAATGACTTTTCGCCTGGTAAATCTCGGCTAATTACTGCAGTAAGAAGTCTCGATTACACTCACCATCGCATTGGTAGAGTAAGTTAGCTTGTAGGATATCAAATCTACTAAGCGCCTTTCGCTGACCAATATCAACCCTCCGCAAAGGAATCAGTGTATCAAGCATAACAGGAAAACGGGAAAAAAATGCTCTGTTGTAGTGCATGATTGACCCGTAATCATATGGCACGTCCTTTGAGTCAATCCACTTCTTTCCAAATCTGAAGAAGTTTCTTTCGTAGCCTGTGTAAAATGGAATAAGCAGTGTCAAGCATTGCGCCGTCCAAATTCATGACTTGTACGATCTGTATCAGTCGTTCCCATTTATATACATTCTCGTTTCTTTTTGCATTATTCGCTAGGCTTTGGTGTTCTTTTAGTTTAGTTCATTAATTTTTTTCTTTCTCGTAACAGAAAAGGATAAAATCGCTAAAAAAAGAGGTTTCTACTGAGAAATTTAAGACCTCACACACTTTTATAGCAATTTGAATCGATCATTAACAAAACTCAGTTCAAGCACGTCCAAACATTTTACAAAAGAATGAGCTTATTTTATTCATACAAATTCGTCCACACTATAATCAAATCCTTCTTAGCGAGTTAATCCAAGTCAAATCTTTAATACAACGTCTAGGCCTTTCACAGGTAAATGTTTCAAACGAATAAACACAATCATTGTTCACTAATGGATAATAACAATAATAATAATAATAATAATAATAGTAATTTGAAATGCGCGAGACGCTGACAAAACCATCGAGCTGAAGAGAATCCTCAGAGTACGCGAAACACCAAGAAAACATTTAAATTGACCATAGTTAAAATTAGCTATGAATTGACGAAACTACTCGGAGTACGCGAGATATTAAAAAAAACAATTGAATTAAAGAGATGGGTCACAGAGGACAAGATAATAGAGAAGCAACCAAAATCAAAAGAATCCTCAGACTGCACGTGGCGAGATACAGTGACAAAACAATAAAACAAAATATATTATCAAGGGTGCGCAAGATACTAACAGAACAATCAAACTAAAGAGATTAATCAGAGTTCTCGACTTACTAACGAAACAATTGAACTAAAAACATTACTTACAATGGGAACTCAGAGTGCGCGAGATACTAAGGAAACAACTGAAATAAAGAGAATCCTAAGAGTCCGTGAGATATCAACACAACAACCAAAGTATAAGGATATCTACCGAACAGTACGCAAGAGACTAAGGGAACAATCGAGCTAAAACATAACTCAAAATGCGCGAGTTACTAACAAAACAAGTAAATTAAAAAGATCCACAGATGTGTGAGAACGACACAATTAAATTGAAGAGAAATTACAGGGCGCAAAAAACTAACCAGACATTCGAAGCAGATATAATTCTCAGAGTGCACGAAATACTAACAGAACAATCGAACGGAATAGATTACTCATACTGCGCGAGCTATTACTAAAATAAATCGAGCCAAAGAGATTACTCAGAGTGCGCGAGATACTAATAAAGCAATCGAACTAAAGAGATTATTCAGAGCTCACGATATTCTAACAAAATAATCGAATTAAAGAGATTACTCAGAGTGTGCAAAACTCTAACTAAACTATCAAACTAAAAGATCACTTGGAGTGCGCAAGATACTAACAAAACAATTAAACTAAAGAGATTATTCAGAGTGCGCAAGATTCTAATGAAAAAACCGAACCAAACAGATTACTCAGAATACGCAAAATACTAACAAAAAAATCGAACCAAAATATTACTCAGAGTGCGCGAGAAACTAACAAACCAATCAAACTAAAGAGATTACTCAGAGGGCGCAACATTCTAATTAAGATATCGAACCAAAGAGATTACTCTGAGTGCGCGAGATACTAATAAAACAATCGATTAAAAGTGATTACTCAGAGTGCGCGAGATGTTAACCAAACAATTGAGACAAAGAGATTACTCAGAGTGCGCGAGATACTAATAAAACAATCAATTAAAAGTAATTACTTAGAGTGCGCGAGATGTTAACAAAACAGTCGAACTAAAGAGATTACTCAGACTGCGCAAGAAACTAACGAAACAATCGAGCCAAAGAGATTACTCGTACTACGCAAAATACTAACAAAAGAATCGAGCCAAAAAGATTACCCAGAAAGCGCGAGATACTAATAAAACAGTCAATTTAAAGAGATTACTCAGGGTGTGCGAGATGTTAACAAAACAATCGAACTAAAGAGATTACTCAGAGTGAGCGAGATACTAATAAAACAATCAATTAAAAGTGATTACTTAGGGTGCGCGAGATGTTAACAAAACAATCGAACTAAAGAGATTACTCAGAGTGCGCAAGATGCTAACGAAACAATCGAGCCAAAGAGATTACTGATACTTCGCAACATACTAACAAAACAATTGAGCCAAAAAGATTACCCAGAGTGCGCGAGATACTAATAAAACAATCGATTTAAAGAGATCACTCAGAGTGCACGTGATACCAACGAAACAATAGAACTAAAGAGATTACTGAGACTATGCAAGATACTAACAAAACAATCGAGCCACAAAGATTACCCAGAGTGCGCGAGATACTAATAAAACAATCGATTTAAAGAGATCACTCAGAGTGCGCGTGATACCAACGAAACAATCGAACTAAAGAGATAACTTAGACTGTGCAAGATACTAACGAAACAATCGAACCAAAGACATTACTCATAGTGCGCCAGATACTAACGAAACAATCGAACTAAAGAGATTACTCAGACTGCGCAAGATACTAAGGAAACAATCGCACTAAAGAAATAACTCAGAGTGCATGAGATACGAACAAAACAGTTAAGCCAAAGAGACTACTCAGAGTGCGCGAGATACTAACGAAACAATTACACTAAAGAGATAACTCAGAGTACTTAGAGTACTAACGAAGAGTGCGCAACATACTAGCAAAATAATCGAACTCAAGAGATTACTCAGTGAGCGAGATACTAACAAAACAATCGCACTAGAGGGTGCGCCAGACACTAACAAAACAATTAAACCAAAGAGATCACTTAGGGTGCCCGAGATACTAACAAAACAATTGCAAAAAAGAGAGAACTCAGAGTGATATTAACAAAACGATCCAACTAAAGATATTACTCAGAGTGCGCGAGATACCTACGAACCAATTGAACTAAAGAGATAACTGAGAGTGCGGGAGATACTACTCAAAACAATTGAACAAAGAGATGATTCACAGTACACGGTGCACAAACAAAACAATCAAACTGAAGAGATTACTCAGAGTGCGCAAGATTGTAACAAAAAAATCAAACTTAAAAAGTTACTCATAGTGCGCATATTTCTAACAAACAATCAAACTAAAGAGATTACTCAGAGAGCGCGAGATACTAACGAAATAAGCGGACTAAAGAGATAACTAAGACTTCGCCAGATACTAACAAAAAAATGGAGCTTAAGAGATTACTCAATGTAAGATATTACTCGTATTGCGTGAGATACTAACGAAACAATTGAGCTAGAGAGATTACTCAGAGTGCGCGAGATACTACCCAGAACAATCGAATAAAGAGATAATTCAGAGTGCACGACATACTAACAAAACAATAGAACTGAAGAGAATACTCAGAGAGCATGAGATTCTGACACAACAATCAAACGAAAGAGATTACTCAGAGTGCGCGAGATACTACCCAGAACAATCGAATAAAGAGATAATTCAGAGTGCACGACATACTAACAAAACAATAGAACTGAAGAGAATACTCAGAGAGCATGAGATTCTGACACAACAATCAAACGAAAGAGATTACTCAGAGTGCGCGAGATACCAACGGGAAAAAACCAGAGATTATTTAGAGCGCTTCCTACATTAAAAAGAAAAACGAACTAAAGAGATTACTTAGAGTACGCAAGATACTAGAAACAATCGCACTAAAGAGATAACTAAGAGTGCGCCAGATACTAACAAAACAATCGAGCTAAAGAGATTACACAGAGTGCGCGAGATACTAACAATCGAACTAAAGAGATTACTCAGAGTGTGCGAGATTCTAACAAAACAATCAAGCCAAAGAGATTTCTCAGAGTGCGCATGATACTAACAAAACAATCGCACGAAAGACATAACTCAGAGTAAGTGAGATAATAACAAAAGAATCGATCTTAAGATATTACTCAAAGTGAGTGAGATAGTAATAAAACAATTGAACCAAAGAGATTATTCAGAGTATACGAAATACTAACGAAAACATCACACTAAAGTGATAATTCAGAATGCGTGAGATACTAGCAGAACGATAAAACTAAAGATAGATCATCAATTCTACTATGCACATAAAGATCCTGATCAGGCTGTAATGGTGATCGACAATGATGGAAGACAAGCGTCGAGATGGTACAGAGAGAAACTCCTGCAGCGTAATCCAAGCAAATATCATGCAATGATTACATCAAATGATTCTACTCAGCGGGGTGTACAAATTGACAATTTCATAATGCGGCCAATGGAAAAACTTAAAATCTTGGGGGTTTTGTTTGACAGGAACTTGTTGTTTAGTAATCATATATCTACAGTTTGCAAGAAAGCTGGTATGCGAGTGAGCATCCTAATGAGAATGCGCCACATGATTTCAATGAGAGTGAAATTAAGAATATACAAGGCCGCCGCATTGCCATATCTGATATACTGCAGCCTCGTTTGGCACTTTTGCAGGGGCTCAGATCAGAGAAAGCTTGAGAGGGCCAATGAACGGGGTCTGCGAGCTGTATTTTGTGATTGGAAATCGTCATATGGCGAGTTACTAGCACGTGCACGGATGACTAGTCTTTACAATAGGCGCCTGTAGGATATTGCAATCCTCGTGTGTAAAGGGAAGTATAAGTTAACAGCTTCGAATATTATCGATCTTTTCAGCGTATCACCGACTAGTTATAACCTACGAAATTCAGACTTCTTCATCCCTAGGTTCAAAACTGTAAAATCTGGCAAGCACTCCATTAGATACATTGGACCACTCTTATGGTCCAAACTGTCTAAGAAGGATATAGCCCTAGCCTCATTATCGGCCTTTAAAACACGAATCAGAAAGAAGGACCTTTCAAGTCTAGTTGAGAACAAATGTTCGAATTGTTACCTGTGTAACACTTGAGACTTTTAGATTAATTATATTACATTGTAAACCATTTTATTGTTATAATTATTATTTTTTTATATACAGATTTAATATTCTAATGCTATTAATGAAATTTTTATAGTAAA